CATAGGCGTTTGCCTATTAAATGAAATAACAGCCTTTGCCGTTGGGTTTACCTGACATGGCTATCATGGCTATCTGTTCTAGTGGTGTAGGTGAAAGAACCCTTCGCAATGGCACTGGTCCGCAGTATTGAAAAATGCGGCGGCCAGCCCCCTGTTTCCCCCCAAGACCTGCTGCACCCCGTCACAGTTGCCCTCTTCAAGATCCATGGCCGTTTGTCTGTAGGCGGTCTGAAGTCTGCAGGGTGGCTGGCGTACTCAAGGATCAGCGGCTTTACAGTAACAAGACGGATCATTCTGGTGACGCTTCGCCAACTGCCGGGCTGAATAAAGAGATGAGCAAGAAACTTGGGTACTATGGTCCGGGTATACTTTTGTAGTAATTGTTGTACTATGTGTCTAAAATACAGTGTCAAAGATAGAGAAAAGGTTCAAACAACCTTCGTTATGGCTTTACCATACGCTCAACACCTGCCCGAGAGTGTCACATTAGATTACTCGAACAGCATAGAGTAGTAGGGAGAGAACAATTTGCATACCACAGTCAAGTATTAGCTGCTTGAGCATCCACTCTCATGCAGCTTTTATGAAGAACCGTTCTTGTGTTCAATTGGCAAGCTCATCCCGACTCTCCTGGCAGTCAACCGCACTCGTTCTTCCTGGTCCATGTCCGCTCCGGGGTTATATCGTTCCAGCAGCGTAACATACTGTCTCTGGGCCTTGACGTATTGCGCGAATTGTTCTGCTTCTTCCAGCTGGGCCCGAGCAGCGTCGGCGTCGGCGGGTGCGGAAGAAAGGTGCTGGCGGATCTTGGTCTGGAGGGGAGACGGCGAGAAGCGCGGCCGGGAAGGCAGCTCGCGTAGTATGGCCCGGTACACCGAGCGAGTCCTCGCTGGCACGTTCGTCATGCTGAGCTGGCTTGATCTTTCTCTTTCTCTTTCTCTTTCTCCTTCTCCTTCGTCTTCTTCTTCGTCTTTGTTTGTTTCTTTCCTTCGTCGACTTTTTGGCAGGTGAAGTTGCATTTACAACAGCACTGGAAAAAGCGTAGCGGCTTGGCGAGGTTTTTAAAGCAGCGGCATGAATCGACCGTTTTTCTTCCTTTTATTTTTCGCTAGAACAAAAAGACGCTGACGACGAGGGATGAAAGCAGATCCAGGCAGAGGCCGTCGTGAGAGGAGGAAGAAGAAGGTCAGCTGTACTTGGATCGTGAGACAGAGCTGATGGCTGTGTCGTGTCAGGTCTGCTCCCGGGAGCAAGCAAAGTACCGGTGTCCAGCTTGCGGCGTGCAGAGGTAGGTCCTCCCCGGGGCAAGAAGACGAAGACGAAGAAGACGAAGCTGAATCTACGGATGCATACTAACTAATGCCTGTGATAGCTGCTCTCTGGCGTGTTCAAAGGCCCATAAGACGAGCTGCTTTCCAGTTGCACAAGATTCTGCGTCCCAAAATGCTCACATACAGGGAGACGGCAATGCGGTGGCCGTCAACGACGCCGAAGCCCCAGCTACGTCTACGTCTACATCGGCTGCTGCTGACACTGCCACAGCTCCGGGGCAGGGACAATCGAAAGAGAGATTCTCCAGCCTTGAGAATTCGCCCAAGCTCCAGGAGTTATGGAGTCGATTCCCCAGATTCCGGTCTCGGTTGCGGGAGATTTACAGTCTAACGCTGGAAGAGGAATGGGTTGAGGAGGCGAGGCCGGACAACAGCAACGGACGGGGGCGCGGACGAGGACGCGGGCGAGGCAGGGGATCACATTCGTCCAGAGGGAGGAACCGAGGCCCCTGGACGGCGGAGAAGGGCTTCAACCGCGGACTTGAAAGGGTTCGCAAATGGCGAGAAGCGTGTGACGAGGATGGCGGTGCATCGAGACACGCCACCGGCGGAGCTGAGGATGAGGCATTTCGACGCTTTATTGCTCTTGTTATTGATATGGATATGGATAATGATATGGATATGGATAGAGATATGAATAATAGGGGTCACGATACGGAAGCAAAAACAGGAACCGGCTAAGCGGCGCGTTACTCTAAAGATTGGCTGAGGCGAAAAAGCTACCAACCTGCCGGGATGTGCGCACCGTTTATGGTTTATGGGAGGTACCCTTGGGAAGACCGATCGCACCGTGTGCAGCCTGCGTACGCTCTCTTTTTATACATATACAACTGACTGCTTAAATCCTGCAGATCGTGGGGTGTTATGGGAATGTTTAAAAAGGGGGGTAAAAAGGTGTGTGTGATCCTATACATAGCCTCACTCTTTCGCTTCTCTGCTTGGAAGAATGCTGTTTCTTGGACAAGGAAATGAGAGTCCCATTCGATTGGCCATGACCTCGTCGAGACATGATCTGTCGTCTGACGCTGACCTACAGAAGAAGCGAAGGGGTATGTTATTATTCGGGAGCGGAGATGCTGATCCAGAAGCTATATCCAGTTCCCAGGACAAGGACCTGCAGATGTGATCTCTTTCGTCACAAAATGCCCCTTTGGTCCTACCACACCAAGTGTACATACAGTATACAGACGAGTTGACACACCCACCCACTCTCTTCCTCCCCGCAAGTTTGCTAGATGGGGATCCATCCGTCTCAGGGGGGTAAACGAATAACAATCCCGTCGAGGACCCGAAACACAGGTACCTTTTTCCTTTCTAGCATGATTTGAAACGCCAAATAGATACAGGGGGCCCAACGGTCAAATGGAACTTCCCATTCTACACTGGACAGTCACGAATTAGAGGGCAGATGGCTCTTCGATCTGGAGCCGAATAGTGGGACGGCGGTTGGCTAGCTGCTTAGAACACGGGGCGAGGCTCTGGGACTCGTCCAATTCCGAACTGTCGACTCCACGGAGTCAACATCTCTGCATAAACAAACTGCCGTCCAAGGCCACAAGACCATGAAGAAAGGAAAAGAAAACAGGGCCAGCGTTACCGAGAATAAGCACGAAGCAGGCGACTCGCTCTCCCCTGGCCGCACAGCCCGGCAGCTGAACGCAAAAGCTGAATGGAAGGGTCCTTTCTCTGTTGCACACATTACCTCCGCCGGGCTGACCTTTGACTTCGTTGCCCCCTGGCTGGCAGGATGATGGATGATGGATGATATGAAAGGCTTCTTGCCACCACTCGATCTATACATTTTTCTTCTTATACATTGCTATTATAACTCTACAACATAACCAGGATTACTCCGTACGAAGGAGAAGACGAAGAAACAAGAGCGCTAGAGGAGTCCCCAACCCTATCCTCCCTTGCGAAATGCTACCTGTCTGATGTATGCGCCAGCCAGCCAGCAACACCGCCTGTAGATCAAACGTAGACAAAACAGACAGCAGACAAACAAGCCCGTAGACTCGATAGCAGGCAGCAGAGCAGGCCCGCCAGGTCTCAAGACACTGCAAGAGACGCAGAGACGCAGAGACGCAGAGACGACGAGAGAACTGCGAGAGAAGAGAAAAAGCAAAGAAGCGAGACGAGAGACAGGCCGAGATGTCCTTCCAGCGTTTTCTGCTTCTTGTTACAGGCGAGGAAAAAACAACATCCTGGAGCGTCTGCTGTCTCACTAAGACTAAAAACCCATCATCGATCTGCTGCGTCGTTCGCCGCTCGACTCCGGCCTGGCATCTCGCCTCTATCTGTCGATTTTCTATATATACACACCTCCGATCAGCCGTTCTCGCTCTCTACCGCCCGTCTCGACCCTGCCTGCGACGTTGTACCGGTCAAAACGCGCTGTTCCTTGTCTACAACGCAAGACTGAAGAAGAAAGAAAACACACAAAACACAACAGCAACAACAGCAACAACCACAGCTTGGAGGACGGAAGGGCGTCCTCTCTTTGCTTCTTCTGCTGCTTCTTCCGCTCGCTGTTATCTATCACCTGGGTTTGCCTCCGTCGTCCAGCGAGAGAGCAGCAGCCGGCACGCGGGAAGCGACTCTCAATTCGGCGGCTGGCGATGACGAGCGAGCGTCACTCGCAGTAGAACAGCGTCGGGCTGGCTTAGGGGAAGAAAGACGACCGCATTGGAGACTCCCGCGAGAGACATGCAGCAGTGATCCTGTTGTTCCCCCTGCCATCAGACGGGCTTCGTTGCGACGAACACACGCAGAGACAGATAGATACAGCAAGAAACCGCGGGGACCAAAGACGGACAGACAGACAGGAAGACAGACAGGAAGACAGACAGGAAGACGGCGAGAGAGACGCAGAGAGACAGACAGAGACAGAGAGAGAGAGCTCTACCTCAAACGCCTTCTGTCTCACACACAGACACCCACTCGAACCCATAACATACCTCTATATTATATATAAATTATATTAAATTATATATATTGTATATATTATGTCCGCCTCCTCCTCCCTGAACCTCGCCAGGACACGGTCAACCAGCGCCGGGCGTGATGGTCTCCCTTCCGCACGTCCAGCTCGCCCGCCGCTCCAGAACCGAACATACTCGGCCCCCGTGGGCAAGCTGCACCTCCAGGCCGGCCGCTCGGGCAAGCAGGACGCCGCTGGGTTTACGGCAATCGCAGAGAACGAGGTGACGATGACGGGTCAGGCACCCGAAGACAAGGAGAAGGAGAAGGACAGCTCGGAGGACCTCTCGGAGGGGGTATGGGTATTTTTCAGTTTCCCCCCCCCCCCCCCCCCCGAATGTGATATCCCGATGTCGTGTCCTTTGTCTGCTCCTCTCTAGCTCCGGACAAGGACTGAGGCCATTGGGGCATGCGAGATCTATAGACATATATATCCCTCTCGAGAGACATCCCCCGGCTAACTTAACGGCGTGTATAGGCTGCTACGTCTGGACACCAGCTGCCGCAGGTGAATCTAGCAGTGGTGGGAGCTGCGGGCGTGGGCAAGTCGACGTTTGTCAAGTGCGCGCTTGACCTGAAGCAGACGCCGCTGGTTCGGTCCTCGATCAAGAAGATGTCCATGGACGGAGCTATCTACGTGGTCCGGCTGCTGGAAATCGCCATCCACAAGATCACCCTGGACGACCGCGGCCGCATCGTGTGGCCCAAGTGTCTGGGCGAGCAGGCGCTGCCTCCCATCGACGGGGTTCTCTGCCTCTTCGATTCCACCGATCTCCGCAGTGTGTCCCAGTACCCACAGGTCCTTGGTAAGACCCGGCCTCTCCCTCGGTGTCGTTCTCGCTCTCGTTTGCTTGTTTCTTTCTTTTTTCTTTCCTTTTTTTTTCCCCCTTTCCCTTCTTTGCGTCGTTCATCCTGCCTGTATTCCGCCCGCCGGGTAATCAGCGCTGCTGGTACGACTGCTGAACGGACGGAGTCTTAGATGCCCTTCGGAAGTCGACCAACATCCCTTTCCTCGTGATAGCCTGCAAATGCGATGGCCCTCAGAATGAATCCCAGCAGGACCCTTTAACCCTAGTGCAAGCATGCCGGTCACTCCTGGGGTTGAAGGTGCAGAGAATCTCGGCCAGCCATCCAGAATCCCACAAAAAGTGCATCTCGACCATCCTACGAGCCATCATCATGCGTAGTGCCGGTATGTCCAGCCTTTTCTACCTCCCCCCGCCTTCTCTTCTTCTCCTGATCTGCTTGTCGTCTGTTTGTCCCTCCCCTTTTGTGTATGAAGAAAAGAAAAGAAACAAACACCCATCACGGTGGACGGTGTTGGGCCCCTTCTTCCTCTCTCCGACTCTTCACGAACCAGACCCAGCCCGGAAGGCGAACATTTCAACCAAAAGGGCCGCTGCCTCTGTCTCTGCATCTGCCTGCCCGCCCTCCGTTTGTTCTGGCTCCCCTCGGGACTTTTGCTGCTTCATCCCCCCCTGTCTATCACGCTAAACTCGCTCCCGGCTTTCTCCACCCACGCCTCGCACCGCCCAAAAAGAAAAGAAAAGAAGAAAAAAGCGAAGACGAGGAAAGACGACGAGGCAGGAGAAGAAGAACTCTGCGTTATCCCCCTGCTCTGGCTCTTATGAGTTCGAGTTTGCCAGCCAGAGTCGTCGAGCCTTCGTCCTCCTGCTCTTCTTTTTTTTTTTTTTTTTACTCTTTCCCTCCCCCCTGTTCTAGTTGCAGCCGACTTTTTCACCACCTCCCCTTTCTTCTCCAAGCATGATATATTATCTTCAAAGCGTCCGCCCCCTGAACCGCTCTCACGCTGGCTTGCCGCACCGGCTGACGTCTCAATGCTCTCCCTTGCAGATGTAGCCTCTTCTACAACAGATCGCTTGCCTCTCTCCGCCTCTTCGTCTCCGAATCTCGCACCCTCCGGCAGCAGCAGCAGCAGCAACAGCAGCACTACTCTACTACTTCGCCAACCTGTCCCCCGCAACCGACCTCATACACGGGCAAGCTCCGAGAACCCCAGACCATCGACCAGCGACACCATCAGGTCTGACCGATCCGCCGGCGGTGGTGGTGGCCACGCCGATACGTTCAGCAGTTCGACTTTAGCCCCTGGCGCTCACGGCGGTTCGAGATATGCCCGTAGTAATTCCCAGCCCGTGCCGCCAAGAACACCACCCGGGAGTACGATATCAAACCGCAGCGCCTCAGAAACCATCGACGAGGATTCGCCTCCTGGCAAAGCCAGGTATCGAAACCTGAGGACCACTTGGAGGCATAGCGCCGGCTCAGACGCCTTCAGCAGCTTCCTTGATATGGACGATGAGCTAGACGATTCAAGATCCGCCAGAAGCCCTTCAAGTCAGGCGCAGCCAAAGGAGAAACAGGATGACACCGGCTGCACGCTTGACGAGCTGGTTGACCGGCTGCTCTCCTTGCCCTTGTCCAAGCAGGATGCAAAATTCCCCGCTATCTTCCTCTGTCTCTATCGGAAATTCGCTACTCCTTTTCAAGTTTTAACCGCCATAATCACACGCTTCGAGCACATCAACTGCAGCCGATCGCCGTTGCTCACCCGCCACGCAGATCAGCTCAGATTCCTAAACGTCCTCGCACAATGGGTCTCAGAGTACCCCGGAGATTTTGCTGGAGCCAAAACCCGGAGGCTACTGATCGAGTTCATTGCTTCACTCGAGAAGAATATCGTCTTCGCCTTTGCTGCAAAGGAGATGAATTCCTACCTCGAAAAATTTGTGGAAGACGATGACTTATGCTGGGCTTACACCGACGAGGACTCTTTACCCGATTCTACGGACCCGTTTGTGGATACGACCTCAAACCGCATGTCCCAGTCCATGGGTAACTTCAACATCAGCGACATGGACCTCGACCTCTCCTCGCAAAACTCCAACCTCTCCACCACTTCCAGTGCCGACAGGGCCGGCAGCATCTCCAGCCAATCTTTTCGGACCCTGCTCACCGTTGAATCCGCCCAGCAGGAAGCCCAGAAACTCGAGCTTGTGCCACGGAATCTTCTCACAAAAACCCAGTGGCGAATATTCATGGACATCCCTGACGAAGAATTTGCCCGGGAAGTGACCCGGATGGACTGGATCATGTACAGTTCCTTCCGGCCGCGCGAACTTATTCGACATGTCAGTTTGTCTGGTCCGAATAAGGGGAAATCATCGGCATACCTAGAAAATGTGAACAGGATGATCAAATCGTTTAATCACCTAGCCTTTTTTGTCGCTAGTATGGTACTGCTTCGAGACAAGGCAAAACATCGAGCCCAGGCGCTGGAGAAGTTTATGAATATATCATTGGTGAGTTATTACTGACTTCCGTTCGTCCAGGCTCACCCCCCCTTTCCCCTTTTTTTTTTCCTTTATTACTTGGCCCCTTTCCATATTCAAGTTGTTCTCGGCTAATAGGAACCTTTCCATATCAAAGAAACTCCGCCAACTTAACAATTATAATGCGCTAGGCGCAGTTATTGCAGGGTTGAATGGAACGCCGGTTTCAAGGCTATCACAGACTCGAGAACTAGTGCCCCCAACCCTTCAGAAGCAATTTATGAGTGTAGTTATACTCATGAGCACTGAAAAGAGTCATTTTGCATATCGACTCGCATGGGGAAACTCCTTCAACGAAAGAATACCGTTCCTACCCCTCCACCTTCGCGACCTGGTGTCTGCAGAGGAGGGTAATAAAACCTTTGTCGGCGCGAACAACGACCGAATTAATTGGCGGAAATTCGAGGTGATGGGAGACGTCATTCTCTCCATCCAACAGAGCCAGAAAACTTCATTTCCCACGTACACCAAGCATGATATCACCCAATGGTTGATCCTCGAGGCGAAATTTGCAGGAGATGAAGAGGTTAGTTGCATTTGCCCTCCTCTCAACTATATGTACCATGCACATATATACTGACGACACTCTGAAGGAACTCTACAGCCGGAGCATGCAAGTGGAAGCATCCGCTAGCGGCATCCCGGATCCAGGACGCAAACGGTTTGTATGGAGACGACCTTGAACTGATGATTGTTATGATAGTAATGTCCTTGATACGATCTATTATTTCTCGTAATAGAGTGTCAATATGGCCCGCCAACACACTTGATATAATTTACAATTCCCAGCGTTGGCTCATTTATCCGGGTTGGTTAGGAAAGGGAGGGATGTGGTTTTTACTATTCACCGGGAGGAAATATTCTATTTTCATTACCACCACCACCATCATCATTATCATTTTACATTCCTCATATACCTAAATTAATGCCTGCCCTTTTCCTCCTTTCTTCCTCCCCCGCCCATCCTTCTCTACTTTGGTTTCAACTATACTCAAGCAGATCTACCCCCTGCCTATCTATCTCCCTCTTTTACATTGCTTGGTTTTCCACCTTGATTGCCCTCCCGCTTGGACTGCCTTTGCTTGTATTATTGTATACCCATATTTATGAATTGTTAAAAAAACTGCCTTTTACATGAGTTTCTATGTGTGATTGTCAAATGGACGTTAGGGGTTCTTTTATACGGACAGACATGTACGGATCCCCGTGTTGCTACAGGTAAATTTATAAAGTCTTTGTGGAATAATATCAATCTATAAATAATACAAGAAATGGTGATTACGCACTAACATTAACAGCCACAGTGAGTAGCTAAAGGAGCCATCCTGCCCTGAGTGTTAATGTGACGGTCAGCCAGGAGGCTGATAGCCCTTCTATTTATAGAGGTGCCTTAGGACTTAATAAGAATTAGCTGCGTCAATACGACCTCATAATGGCACCAGAATGATTCTTCCCTAGCCAATGTACAGGGACCCTAGGTCTTGATCCTCCAGATTCCATCGCCTTAGGGTATCAACACAGCATAAGCATTTTTTTCACAACATAAGCAAGACTGCTCAGTTTTAAGGCCTGGCTAAAATGTTAAGCTCTATGAAGATGCGCAACGAAACCAAATGAAATGTACGGACGTATAATATGAGACCTGTGCTTGCAAGAAAATCTACAGGTCATATCAAAAACATACGCATCTATCAACATTTGCTTTGGCTGCTGGTATTCAGGAGTATTGCGTAAAGCTTTCCCCACAACCGAGACAGAAGAACGAAAACCTTTTGAGGTTTTGTGATTGCAGGAGTCTTCCTTTCAGGTATTCCACCCATGTTGACTGTTTGAAGACCGTTTCTTCCTGTTGTAGGTAAATTGTAGATCGATGACATAATCATATAAGGTTCATATCACGTGATTTTGTGGTCGGCATAATAATTTCCTATTAAAGAGTTTGGCGTTGGAGGCCCGAGCACAAAGTTCTGGGTGGAAGAATTATTAACCTTATTTTCAATTAGCCCGGGGCGTCAAATCTCTTACATAATCCATGAGCCAAAGAAAAGCTTTGAATTTGAAGACTCACTTCAACTCCCCGGATCTCCCGCTGCTATTCACATCACTGGCAACGAGAGTGAATCACCATGGCATCACAGCCTCTATCCCGTGTGCTTTCCAGGACAGTGTCTAGCCCCTTGTCGGCCTTGAGACGGCAGAGTCCTCAGCTATCGTTACGATGGCTTTCGAGCGCAAGTAGACCGCCGATGGTCGTCCTGGCGCATCACCGGCCAACCTTGCAACGGCATCACCAGCCTGTTACCCAAGGACGTACCGGCGTTCCTTCAAATAGGCGAACTATATTCATTGAGACGGATACCACTCCCAATGCCGATGTGAGTGCCCATGTACCTCATTATTCCGATGCAAGCTGTGCTACTCGGAACTTTGATCTAATCCTTTTCGTTTATACTAGGCTCTCAAGTTCCGGCCTAACCACCCTGTCCTTCCCGAAGGCTTTCCGGTTTCCTTCCTTGAATACCTAACTCCGCGATCTACCCTACAACCACCATATCCATCTCCTCTAGCGGCAAAGCTTCTCAACGTTGACGGTGCTGTATCGGTGTTTTTCGGCTCGGACTTTATTACGGTAACTAAGGATAGTGATGCTAATTGGGCCCATATCAAACCCGAGATCTTCAGCCTGATTACCGAAGCAATTACTAGAGGCGAAGCACTGGTAAACGTTGTTGATGTCAGACAAGGTAAGGAGGGAGCGGAGGGCGCGGAAGCAGAAGAAGCTGTACGATATAACGAAGAAGATGAGGAAGTTGTTGGGATGATTCAAGAGTTACTCGAGACAAGAATCAGGCCCGCTATTCAGGAGGACGGTGGAGATATAGAATTCCGCGGATTTGAAAACGGGAATGTCCTGCTAAAGCTTCGTGGAGCTTGCAGAACCTGTGATTCGAGTACTGTGACATTGAAGAACGGTATCGAGTCTATGCTCATGCATTACGTGAGTTCACCTCCCCTATTCATTCACGCACCTGCTCCTACACCCACCGCCGGGATGTTGAGCCCGCGTTGTTAATTTTTGGCGTTTGATGTACAGATTGAAGAAGTAAAGTCCGTCACACAGGTACTTGATCCGGAGGAAGAGATTGCCGCACATGAGTTCGCACAGTTCGAAGCGAAGCTGAAACAACAAAAAGGCCCGACTTCATCGCAGTGACAACCTAGATCTCTGGATGGAGTATGAGCTAATGTCGATTCAATCTATGCATGCCATGATACCCTTCTTCTTTTGCCTGATCAGCCTTCCACAAGTTATTTCTCGAACATTTTCTTCAGTGTATGTACGACGACTCAGCCGTGCATACTTGAAGCCATCTTTAGACAAGGTATACCATTGCTGTATATATACGGCGCATAAGAGGGTCCTTGGCCCCTTCTCAGCCAATGTACGCCTCCGTCGAGACAATGGTGCACTTAGAATGTAGCGTTATGTTACATGTCCTAATATCTTTATGTGCAACCTGGACTTCCTCCACTCCATCCAATCACACACACTCACATTGACTTGAGGCAAGCTGTTTGTTCTGTGTATTATAAATATAGGTGTACATACCACTATCAATGATAAGATTTCATTCCCCGTAAAGCAATATCGTCTATCCTCTATTTCAGTATGCGTCCATGTGTTATGCAGTAAGTAGAACATTAGCCAACTTGTTGGAAGATGTTCTATAATAGCCGTGGCAAACATGTGGCTTAATTAGAATACTGCCGATCGGTTGGATGGGCAAATGAGCTTCAAAGTCATTCCCCCCCCCCTCCGCCGCGGAGGAGGATGAGCACGAGCAAGGGACATGGTTTGAAGAAAGTCTCACAGTGTGAAAAACGGAGTAAAAGAGAGAGAGCCCCTGTCAGCAAGCAATGAAGGTTCTGACTGCTGCTTTCGAGAAGCTGAACAACGCCGAGCAATTTAAGCGCAGAGCGGAGTATCTCCATCGTCGAAATATGTATATCTGCAGAGGATTAAACATAAACGGCAGAATAATGGAGGATAACTAGTTAGTAGGGCCGAAGAGACTAGACCTTGTAAGGAAATATTCATGAATGTGTTTACTCCTATTCCCTTGAGCGTAGTACGCGGTTTGGGAACCATTACATCGGCTGTTTTTGTTTATCATCAGTGGCTAGGAATGACCGCGCAGCCAAGAGAAGGGATCATCTCTCCTGCATCACATCGCCATGCTAAAGTTGTTAGTTCAATGAATTTCTTTTTGAGTGGACGGATACCAGATCTCGGAGCCCTTTGCTTTTGTATATTTAGCGTCTTGAATCCCCCTTTGCAAGAGTGGAGGGCCTGTATTCAATGCTGTAGATAGATGTTGGCTTCTATACCCCTCCGATTTCCAATCCCGAGTTCTTTATATGGGGAGGCAAATGAAAGGCGGTCTCACCACAGGTGTAAAAGCAGGCGAAACTAAATGGGGCGGACTCGAGGTTGGCTATAAAATCTGCTGGAATGCCAAGCGAAAAAGCGCGGTCCTCCTGGTGTACCGTGGGCGGCATGAGACCCGAATTAGCTGGTTGTTAATAATCGCCCAGTATCTTCCAGGTGAGGACAATGCAGTTGCATATTTGGCCGGAATTTGGTCGGGATACGGCTCCGTGCATCCCGCATGTTTGATGGAGGTGCAAAGTGGAGATGGATGGGCAGGAAAATCCCTCAAGAGGACGGAAGTTTCGTCGGGTGAGATGGGAAGTTATACAAACCTCGAATGCAGAACGCCAATTTCAAGTCTTATTGAGTACCTGTACCTCCATAAGTTGGCATATAAAGTGTTTCTATTCATATTGTAAAGTTCTCCGAGTAGTGTAGTGCTCAGAGTCTGGGAAACGGATAATGATCGAGAACCTCCATTTCAAAGCGTAGTGGCGAAGACCGAGCGAAGTAAGATAGAAGCATTATGCGGGGTGCAGAATGAGGGGGTCTGTCAAGCCGTGGGTGCATATGTGTGCCGTTTCATTTCCCATCGGAGAACATGGCCCCTTCCCGGTGGCTGCAGGCCAGCTAGTTATGCAAGAAAACATCGATCCCCCCTCCATGCTCTCAGGATGTGATTCGAGGCCATCGATCCCTCATATATGTTTCCAGTATCGCCTACCTGATACCCTCGTATAGATAATAATCGATATGGAGCCAACTGGAGATGCTGCAGCACTAAGTGGAGCGAAAACTTACTGCGCCGGCTAAATAACTCGTTGTAGAACCCGTTTTTCTTTTATCAAACATCCATGTCTGTCTGCTGGTGTTGTCCTGCGATGGGATCACTAGTACGCCGGCCATTGTTGAAAGCCACAAAGTTGCTCTCATCCGGAATAGATATTCTGCGGTTGGTCCATCAACAAACTCAGCCAAGACTTGACCATGGCTCTGGACTGAAAAGTGACCCAGGATCAGGAGCAACGTTTTGCTTAGCGTAAAACTCCCTCGCCAACTCCTCCCCCTCCTGCGCCCTTATCTCTCCCTCTGTCAGGCTGTCCCACTTAAATCCTCGACTGTCCCACGTCTGAAGGGGGTAGGCAAGGGTGTGTCTCAACACCGTTACGCCGCATGGCATCCCAAATGGCAGCTGGGCGCGAGTGAAGAAGATCTGGGCGGCAGTGCATCTGTTGATAACATATATTAATAGTGGGCCTGAAATAATGAGGTCATCCCTGGCTGAGTTGCGAGACTGAGCCAGACCTTTTCACCCATCCTCATTACAGTGTCAAAGGCGACAAGAAATTCTTTGTCTGTTCGCGCTGGCTCGCTTGCCCTGTTTTGGCTCTGGTCTTGGAGAGGAGCTTTGGGCAAGCAGACCGTAGTTTAGGCCATCAAAGAAGGTTAACGGTGGATTTCGTGGGGTCAGTTAAGCTAGTTAGTTTGCTGGATCAGTAACTAGTCAACCAGGTAGCCATCTCCATATAAGTTAACTCGATACCCACAGCTGGGAAGTAAGGCACACGAAGAGGCACCGAGTAAAGACCGCCTTGCTGTTGTAGGTACACTCCGTATACAGAGTGCGCAAGGCAAGATGCTGGAGGCTGCTTTTACGTCAACTCGCCGACGTCAAAAGCTCCCAGAAGGAGGCTGGGCATGCCAAAAGAAGCAACACGTCATGTGAAGCCTCACGTGGCATGTCTTGCCCTAGGCCCAGGCCCGAAGCGGAAATTGAGGCAAAACTGAAATCGAACCTCAGCTTCGCGACGTCAACTCTTCAACTTCATACCCTCAACGTCATCTCTTCAGCACCGGGTTGCCCTTCACACTTCGCCGGCCGCACGGGGTTGTTTTGGCTGGGGAAGTGTAGCTGCGAGACGAAGCTAGATGCCCACTGAGCCTTTCTCCGCGTCGCTGGGAGACTTTCTCTCGGTTAGATACGTACTTTGGAACATTGATCATTGGTAGCTTTGGAGGCGACTTTCTCTGTTATTCTTTATGTACCGTGTTTGACTGTACATATACCTTGGTTCTGCAGAAATTTAGCTGGAACTTAGTTAGGAGTTTTTGGTAAATTAAACAAACAGCAGCAACAAAGTGGCCTCGTGGAGAAACCTGGAGTGTGCTGGATATAGCTAGCTATAGACGCGGAATAATATAGCCGCCAACAACGATCTCAAATACCCAGTACTTTCCTCAAAATACAGTCGCACAGGGCACCGACGAGACAAGACAAGACCAGGTAGTATTCGACGTTTACTGCTTTCCTGGGCGTTTCTTTTTCTCCAGCATCCATCCTCGAGATCTCAGACCTAGGCACAGACAAAATCGCAACCTGAGCTCCAAGATCGAGCCTAGTTTATTTTATTGCAGCCACAGGTGCTTGTAGGCCAAGCTGGGCTTAAAAAGGGAGGGCTTTGGCCGCTTTGACTGGAGACTGCTAGTTACCAGGGACCCTGAGTCCAAACGACTCCACAAATAAACGGTTGACTTATAGCCCCCGAGCTGAGAAAAAAAGGGGACCTGACCTGGTGAAGGCTGGATTGACAATCCGGCTTTTTCTTATTTATTTTCGCTTCAGGTAACTCCATCTCCCCTAGCCTGGCGCCGGCGCCGGCGCCAATTCCAACCTGACAGATGACTCTCTGATATAGCTATGGTTCTGGGTGTTAACTGAACCACTTTGTCAACAAATACTGAGCCAGTTGGAAGGTTTTAGGCGCAGATCAAGAGATTCCAGACTGACTTTAGGCTCGAGGCGGGCCCAATGTGCAAGGAATAGTGAGAGAACCAAGGAAAAAGAAAGTCGCAAGCAAGCAAGCAGACGGACCCATCATTCAGCAGCAGAAGGACGGAGCAGACGCAAGCAAGCAGCGCTGCAGGAAAGCGAAAAAATAAAAAATAAAAAAGAAGACGAGAAGCTCGCCCACACCTCCCAACTCCGCTAAACTTAGTGTGCCACCATCCTCCGTCTTCTCATACGTCGTCGACATCTGGGGTTTCTGGAGACGAGACTTAGACTCAGCGAGCCATTCCAGATCTACCGCCGCCGCCTCACGCCACCCACTTTGCTCTGTTGCTACCACTTTCTGTCTGCTGTTTTCTCTTCTGATTCTTCTCTACTTCCGTCGTTCGTCTCCCTCTTCTCTTTCTCTCGCACACGACCATTTCTTCTACCTCCTCTCACCCGACTCCAGCCTTGCTACGTCTTCGACGACGATCCGCTGGCGAATGCGCTTCTTCTAGATAAGCCATAGTCAGCAGAAATCCACCTACCTGTCTAATCGTGGGCCAGGCCTTGCCAATCTCAGGACTTCGTCGGCTATTGAACACCTCTCTCCCATAACTCATACTTCATCACCTACCTCGTCCGCGCTCTATCCTCTCTCATCGCCTACCCCCCCCCCCCCCCCCCCCCCCCAACGAATACCTCATACACTCGCTTTTCCCTGTTTCACACGGCATTTGTCCGTGAGAAGACGATTCAGACACCCGACGTCAGCTCACATCATCTTGCCTTGTCGCCTTGCAACCCCTCCACAACCTTATTTGACAGGTCGCGCATTGGTAGACGACCTCAGTCTTCATCTATCTTCTTCTCGCCTTGTGGACGCTCACCTAGACGTGATTTGGGGAATATATCTTAGAAGCGAGAAAGGTTAATACCTGTGCCTATTTAAGAACTGTGCGTTCCAGCTCCTTCTCTTCTATTTCGCCACTATCCACTGTTAGTTATTTGTGCTAATCCGTCATCGAACTGTAGTTCCGAGCCAGCATCTTCCCTCGATATTACTCCCAGATAATAAACTGCAGCTTTTCGGACTACGAAGGCGCTCTCGTCCAGCGCGTGCTCCTTGACCTTCCTACCCCAACCAACTCACTGTTGCGCAATCCTCATCTTATCGCCCCCTCCACTTTCATCCCAAGAAAATATACTCTCTACGCTTTCGTCTCAGCTTAAGCCTATTACAGCTGATTTTCGGTAATTTCCTTGACGCGGGCTGCTCACGGTTGTACCCTATAGAGCTTCCCCAGATTGGGGGTTGACGCACATGTGAGTGTTACTAGCCACGCGAATTTTTTCAACTCCCTTGTCGCGAACCTATCGCGACGATTTACAGATTGAAAGAACGTATTATTGACATCAAAGACGTCATACTGTGGCGTTATCAAAGATCGATCTTGAATATTCCAAAGTTGCCCGTTGAATATGTTCTAACCTACCTTCTAATAGCAGTGGAAGACCCGCCCGTCACAAACACATGCGAGCACCTCCTCCTGCTTTAAATCCAGGGGTTTATTACCTAGACCTTGGATAAACGTCATTTCACCTACATTTCAAAAACAATTCGACGATCTGAAATAGCTTCGGCCACATTGTCCTGAAGCGTCGCCCTCAAGAACTCTCCAAGAAACCCCGTCAAAATTCCGCTATCCTCCTTTTACCATTTACAGACACATTAATAAATATGGCTGGCTCGACTAAAAATGGCCAGCCAGTACGATCAGCCAGCGCTGCTTTTGCAAACACACCAGGAAACAGTGCATCTTTATTGTTAGAGAAATGTCGACCTGGTATTCGCCGCTCGACACCTGATTCGGATGCCCTTGCTTCATCTGATGATGAGGGCGATCATCATCATCCCGCTCAACACCAGCCGACACCTTTGGCAAACCAACGTCGCCGTACATCCTGGCTCAACGAAGTGCCCAGCACCCTAATGAGAAAGGCCTCACTCCCCGTCACCAGCTCATTTTCGCCCGTCAGTTCCAATCCCACAACACCTGCAGCGGATCAATCGTCGTGGGGTACCGCTACGAGTCCCGGGGTCACCACAGCAGTGAATTGGGGAAATACATCTGGCAACGGATCTTTCCCATGGGGTACAGGGATCTGGAACACCGAAAATCGAAAGGAACCACCATCTCGCATGGCCGAGGTTCTCCAGTCCCCAACGAGCTCTAACCCTCCAAATTTGATCAGTACTTCCGGAGAAGATCAAAGCGGGACTACAGCATATCAGGCGTCTGTGGAGCCACCGATTCCATTTGCCATTCCACTTCACCCAACGCCTAAGACATACCGCTCTCAGTCATACTCAGTTGGACAGTTGGACCCAGAATCCAGTGGCATTCCCCCTTCCCTCACAACTTCCAACAAGCCCACCCCACACATCAGTCGCAATAGACCTGCTGCACAGTACTCCTCAGTCCAACGTCGTTCTTCTCGACCTAGCTTGTTGGAATTAGGACATGACCCTGCTACCCTAGGACGTGTTCGCGAAGACGATGACGACATTAGTCCTAGTGGCATAGAACCCAGCAACAATAACTGGGCATCGAACCAGGCACGCACCATCGAACAGCTCACTTTGGAGAACGCAATGTTGCGTCAGGCTGCGTCAGGCCAAACGGAGAGCACCAACAGATTCCGCGATCGTACCATCTCATCGACATCTGCCAACAACGGCTATTCCATGGCTCAAACCCACAAGCTTCACCCAATCCAAGGTAGTGTTCCAGAAGAATCTGATCTAGCCGTAGAAGATTTGGAAGATGTGGGTGGTTTTGCAGGCTACAACTCCCGCAATAATGCCCGCAGGCGTTTCAGCGAGCATTCAACAAACTTGGAAAAGCAATTTCCTACCTTTGCGTCATTGGAGAACCGCACCTTGGAAAACATCAAACGAGCTCAGTGGCAGAGCTCACTTGGTTTTGGCAGTATTGCTGACGTACCTCAGAGTCGCCGCCATTCTTTCGCCGATACTTTGACCCGACATCCATCGTCTTCCTTCCCTTCGTCAAGCGAGACTCGAGCATCGGCTGGTTCGACGTCCTCCCTTTTAACCCGCGATGAAGGGAGTTTTACTGAAAATGGTCTAAATACCTCATCCACCGAAATTGGTAAGTGCACTGCCCCTATCAGATCACAAAAAAATACGGTTATGGGGTGCTAATAGGCGTTTTATAATAGCTCCATATATCTCTGGACAAGACACTATCCCAACTTCTGGAATTCCAACCTCTCTTCACCAAGCTTATGTCATGCCAAATGCTTTTGGACGCCAGCATGCTGCCTTTGGCCAGCCCCATCAAAACCAGCAGTTATTCATTGTTACTTTCAAGTGCTACCGTGCAGATGTCTTCTATATCCAAGAGGGCACTGGCTTAGAAGTAAAGACTGGTGACCTCGTAATTGTTGAAGCTGACCGCGGTACTGATTTGGGTACTGTTGCCCATGCAAATATCAGCTGGGCAAGAGCCAAAGAACTGAAGGATCACTATGCCGAGGAGCATTACAAATGGTTGATGCTGTTCTCGCGTCAGAATCAAGGCAACGGCACTGGGCATAACAATCCTGGAGCTCCTCCATCTCTAGGCGGTGCACTAGGCAGTGCTGTCGGTGGCATGGGCCCTCAGTCCCAACATACATCTCAAGAACCTCAAGCTGCCGAGATAAAACCTAAGCTGATCAAGAGATTGGCTCAAAGCCATGAGATCCAGACCCTTCGTGATAAAGAAGGAAATGAGGCCAAGGCCAAACGTGTGTGTCAGCAGAAGGTTGCTGAGCATCGTCTCAACATGGAAATTCTCGATGCTGAGTTCCAAATGTGAGTTACTTCCCCGTGTCTTATCACGATAAATATATGCTGATTGATACAACTACAGGGACTGGAAGAAGCTTACATTTTACTATTTTGCCGATTCCTATATCAATTTTAATTCTCTGGTTACAGACCTATTCAAAATTTACAAGACGCGTATCTGGATGTCTGCTATCAATCCTGCCTCCTTTGTGACTCCATCCACTGGACTACCACCTCCACCTGGCCCTGGGATGATGGGATATGGGCAGGATTCCCACACTGATCGACGCCGGCAGCATGAATTTGGACAATACAGCGGCCTTAACCAAGGAATTTCTTCTCCATATACTGACCCTACCCGTGACCATATGCAACCTATGCAACCAGGGATGCGTCCCCCTTACCTCGACCCATACCATACATTCGGAGTTGCTAGACAACCTGACGCTGGATTTGGAGCTGGAATTCAACCTCAAACCGACCCATTTTCTTCATACCAACAGCCGCACTACACTATGATGGACCCTAATGCCCCTGACTTTAGCCGAACTAACGGTCATGGGGCCGGCAATAGACCCCAGAACGGCCAGAATGGCCAAAGCGATTGGACGAACCAATTCAATGGCCTATCGCTTAATTCTTAATGATATATTTACTTCAGGCATGGGCATCAACTTAGCCCTGTTCATGGATACATTCGAACAATCCATTCCGCATCGACCTTTCGCTCGTTAACTCCGCTACGGCGATAACATGATACCAGATTCCGCCCGTCTCGGACTATGGAATACCCAACGGAACATCGTTTTTAGAATTAATAATTTGCAACGGCGTTATCGGAGATTGTGAATACGTATTGTTACTTTCTCCGAGATTCAGCAGCCCTTTCCTTGGAAATACCGTCTAGAGTCTTGAAGGTTATGAGTAACGGCTCACCCACTCACATACACCTTCCCGGGTCCCGTATACTTCAGGAGCCATTTGGACATGGTTCAACCTGCTCTTTTTCCTGTTTACAATCGAATACCTTCGTTTCTTTACGTAAATTCTTGCATTAAGCTGCCAGCACAACGAAACTTTACGACAACCAAGTTTAAGAGAAGGACATACTCATGCAAAAAATAAGAAGAAAAAAAAAAAGGATACAAAAAGAAAGGAAAGGTGTTACGATACATACAGTCGTTATGGGACTTTGTTGTTACTGCTTTTAGTTCCTGTTCTTGCTATTATGGTACAATTTGTTTCTGTCACCGGTTGGTCATTGTTTAGTTTCTTGTTAAAATATTTTTAACCCCTTTCTCTTCCTCTAACTTCGTCCTCCCTGTTCCCTTTCATAGTCTTTTCTCAATTTGATCTTCTTTTTCTTCCTGTTCAATAGTAACACCTCTTTCTTTCTTTTATTCTTTTGCACCACCGGTTTTCATCTGATAATTTTTTTTGTTTTGCAAAAGTTCGATAATACAAACTACAAGACAAGAGAGAATACGGCGAGACCAGAAATTGCTATTACATGCTGGGGACTTCTTTTTCTTTTTACTTTTGAAGCACTTTTCTTTTCATTTTTCTTTTTGAATTAGAAAGGGCTTTGTTTTTTTTTTTTCTATTCCAGGTGGCATTTACACTTTATCAACCAGACAGACGAACTAAATTATACAAATGTTCAATTCTACATGTCATAAAGAGCATTCTTATTCACAACTAACGTATATGCTATACAGCCAGGCTGAACGATGTCGAGTAACGCTGAGATTCTTCGGTCTCAAACGGTCGAAAGGGAGTCCCTACTTTTTTCTTTTCTTTTCTTTTATCTTTATTTTATTATGTTGACAACGCAAACTGTTCGACCCACGGGTCCGGTTAGAGAAAGCATTACATGTGAAAGGTTTGCAATATAGTCAGCGAAGGGGATTGGCAACATTCAAGATCCCAGATGTAATAAAATGTGGGGAAGGATGAACGAATTATCAGAGGATCGAGAATTATGCTCGCATTTCTCATCTCCACCAAGTCTATCCGTATCAGGACTTTGGGAAGGGGCCATTATCATAATAGAAGAGACAAAAGAGAGGAGGTATACAGAGGCGCTTCGCATCCCATTTTTATTTTGTGGGATGTATATGAAAACAAAAAAAGAGAGAGAGCCAGCCAATAAAACCACCTTTTGTCATGACTCCATCATTGCTATCCCTGGCAATATGCATATGTGTTGCTGAGTACTTGAAGTAGTAGCGTAGTAGCTTTTTTAATGCAGCGGTCGACCGTTTTGCATGGCGTGAGCCGTCCTATCACGTAGTCAATGGGTTTCGTCTCGGATCAGAGCAACGATCATGCTGTAGAGGTAGAAAAAGAACATGACGAGGTGGAAACCGAGCTTGATAAAGGACTCCTATACGTAGTGAAAAAGAAGGGCACATGATCAGAAATAGTTGATTCCGACTTGGGTATGATATATTGAGCTTTGATATGTACCTTCTTATGGACATTCAACTTTCGGAAAATTTCTGTGGCATCGAGGAGATGTTGGTTTTCGAATATTCTTGAGAAAAGAAAAAGATCTGGTTAGTCTGGAGGTCCGCGAGTGGCCGAAAGGTAAATGTATAAGAGGGTGGTTGCCATATGGTGTGAACATCTGGCTTGGTGCGGGGGAGTACATACTTCTTTGCATTATATGCGAGAAGGGGCAGGTTAAGTGCGATTGTAAGCCAGTAGCCATTAATAACAAACAGGAAGGTTATAAAGGCATGGACAGCAGCTTCAGGGATAATATAGGAGTTTAAGCGGTTGCAGAGGTCAATCGGGTTGATATAGTCACTATTGTAAAGCAGGATACGGTCAGCGCATGTTCTCAAACAAAGCAGCTGTAGTAGCAGGTCCTTTGCAAGGGAGGCCATGCAAGATTATTTCTAATACAAAAAGGCTGAAGGGGTTCTCACCATTCTAGATCACTGTACATGATTGTGAAGAAGACCTGTAGAAAGAGGTTGACCGCATTGATCAGGACCGCCAGCAGGTATAGCCATGCTTCTCCTGACATGATGGAGGAGAGCTAGAGAGCAAGCTTATTGTCTAGTAGAGTGACCATCTGTTAGCCTAGCTGGAAGATGCCTCTGGAGAACTGCACTGGCAACCGTGTACGCTGGAGGAGCCCGAGTATGAACGGGGGACGCTGCCGATGGAACTTACAGCTACGGGCGGTGGGCGGAAAAGGAGGAGGGATTTGGTCAGTCGTTCGGTCGGCTAGAGAGGAGCGCAGAAGGTTGGTCGACTGTCTGTCTTGTCTATCTGTCAGGCGAAAAGCGAAGATGCAGAGCTGGCGGCGTCGGGTTCGTTGTTGCGCGGAGGAGGAAGAGGAAGAAGAGCGAAGTGTCGATGTTTGTTGTGTTGGAGGATCTTGAAGTTGTGGGAATTACCCGATTGGGCTTCGTTCAGGTTTTGGCCGCCGCAAGGAAGATTTTTTTCCTTTTCTCCCAGACTTCAGCCTGCAAGCAACAACGACAGCGACGATGGCAACGGGGAGACAGCGGCGAGAGCTCGAGGACGGTCACGAGAAGAAGCTCGATGCTCGCTAACTACTAGCAAGGATCAACTGGGATGGTGTTTCGTTTGACAGAGCCTCGAGCCGTGGGTGAGACGCCCACACGAAACAGCAGCGGCTCAGCCACTCGACAGGCGACCAACTTCAGCCAGCGCAGCGGCGACGAGATGCTGTCGTTTACGGCGCCACCAGGGCGATCGTCATAGCCTCTTTGGCTGAGCCTGATACGCCAGGCTGGGGAGCTGAAAATACGTTGATCTACCAGGTTGGGCTAAGGCTTGTCGTCGCTACGCAAGGCCAGGCCAGGCAGGCTAGTTATTTATATAATATTGCACTCACAGTGTATTTATATCTCGGCGAGCTGCTTCCGTGAGAGCGTGGACGAGACCGGAGGACCCTTTTTCGTTGTCTGAACCAGCCTGCGCTCACCGTACGACCTGTGCTGCGGCCAGCGGCTCGTCGTGATCCCGATTTTCGTCGTCTGCCCAAGGGGCGGACTCACAGGGCGTAACTACGGAGAAAGCCATTCTAGTTATTTCTGGACGACAGCGCCTATTTATCCAAATAGCTGGCCCGCCCGAGTATACCAAACTCTGGACGGCTCATGATGGACGATGCTGAGCTAGATCTCATGAATACCGAGCAAGATGACCCTCTTCTGCAGACGGACGAGGAGGAGGCCGTCGAGTCCATGTCGAATTCCGGGGAACCCGTCATCGTGAGGAGGAAGATAAACCAGACTAAATTCATCATAATATGCATTGCTGTGCTGTTCGTGCTTGATTTTGCGGCATTCTTCGATCTCATACCGCAGACCCGCATCTTTGAACTGATTGTCTGCCGGAATTATTTTGATAAACACCATCCAGACCGGTTCCCATATCCTCAGGACATACCAGAGTCGGAATGCAAGACAAACACCGTACAGAGCCAGGTAGCTTATATACAAGCTATAGGCGCTAGCTTTGACGCGCTTCCAAGTACGAATCCTTTCATCTCTTCGTCCTGAGCGCCAATAATTTTTTCATCATACAACAGCTAATTTGTAGCTTTCATGCAGGCATCATCCTACTTCTTCCTTATGGCCAATTGGCCGACAACCCTAGGTATGGCCGCAGGTTTGTCTTGCGGCTGAGTATGGCTGGTATTCTATTAGGCGCATACTGGGCTTTGTTCGTGTGCTCGTTCTACCGATATGTACCCCTTCAAGCAATATGGATCGGGGGTTTCTTCGCCTTGATCGGTGGAGGGCCTGGTGTAACGAATGCAATGGTCATGACAATGATATCTGATGTCATTGATGAAGCAAATCGGTCAGTCGAAGTTGTTGGTACGAAATATGACTTTGATGCATATTTTTACTGACAGATAAACCTAGGTCAACCGTCTATTTCCAAACCTCTCTAGCTGCAGTGGTGGCTCAACTCCTTGCACCTGCTATAGGGTCTGCCATGATGATGAAGCTAGGCCCATGGGTACCTTATTTCTTCGGTACGGCATTCTTTACCGTCTGCTGCCTCTTGATTTTACTGGTACCTGAAACTATTCCTATACAAGTTTTGAAGCCTGGTGCGGCTCATCCAGCACCATCCGGATTTGATCACTGTTCTGTTCGAGAGTCACTGGAGGCTCGTCCCCCCATTTCTCGATCTTCCCTCGCATCGAAGATGAAAACACTTTTTGCAACGGCATGGAAAGAAACCAAGCTCATTTTTAGCAACCGTACCGTGCTTCTTATACTCTCTACTTTCCTTCTCTCAACGCTGGGACGAAAGCAAGTCGATCTTCTATTGCTCTACGCCTCTACTCGATATGAGATCACCCTCTCCAAGGCCGGCTTTGTTCATTCCTTCATGGCCTGCGTCAGCATCGTTCTCCTACTGCTCGTCCTCCCGCTTACTTCAAGCTACCTATCCAAAACCCTCAAGTTGCCCAGCAGCGAGAAGGATCTGTGGCTTTCAAAAATAAGTATCGTGCTTCTCACGATTGGAAGCTTCGCCATCGGCTTCTCTCCAACCTTCGTTTCAATGATCTGTGCAGTCGCAATCTACACCCTAGGTTGCGGGTTCAATGCAGTCTGCCTCAGCTTGATCTCCGCCTTTGTCGACCCAAAGTACTCGGCAAGGCTATACTCTGTCATCTCGCTCATCATCATGATGGGAACCCTCATTGGTGGGCCTCTCCTGGCAGGTCTCTTCAACCTGGGGCTGAATCTCGGGTCGTCTGCATGGGCCGGATTGCCCTTCTTCGGCTCCGGGGTCGTCCATACATTTGTCCTGCTGTCGGTTTGGCTTATCCGACTGCCTTCTGTACAACTAGAGTAGCCCCTTTTATATGTATATACATATATATTCACACAGCTATAGAGTATTTCCCTTTAAATATAATGACGCCGTCTACCAGGCATCTCTTTTCTCCTACCTGCAGGTGATCTTGGCTGGCGTCGGAACAACGTCACCGCGATGCGCCTCGCCGAGCTTCCAGGTAGTTAACTTAACCTCAACACCTCCAGCCTCTCCGCATCCTCTCCACGATCTCTTCTGCCTGCCCATCCGCCAGTGCAGCCCCCTGCATCCGTCGCCCGTCTCGTTAGGCCTGCCTGGTATACTTAGCATAGAGACGAGCCCCAGCGGCATCTCATATCTCGGTGTTTTCTCCCGCCGTGCGCCCGTCCTGCGTCGTCCAGATTCCGCTCCCCCAAACCGCCCAACCGCCGGAGCTAGGCAGAGAAGCTCGCGTCGTCTTCGCCCTTGAGCCAACACTCTCTCTACTCCCAACAGCTTCTAAAACTAGCCTCTGGTCTATACGCTGTCTTGATGCTATCATAAAGCCGACCTGATTCCCCCTGAGCCTTTGACTGCTGCTCGTTTCATCTTTTCCGCCCAACCGGCAAAGATGGCATGGCTGGCGTTGCTTGGCCTGCTTGCTCTGCTCCCTGCTATACAGCCGACATGGCAGGCCAACAGCTACGAAATCAACAGCACCGCGGATTCCTTCGTCACTGCAGCGACTCCCTTCACTCTCCGCAGCACTAGACCGCCTGAGTGCCCGCCGTGCTTCAACTGCCAGCTCCCTGCCTTCAAGTGCCACCAATTTGGCAAATGCAACAAGTTCAACGGGAAATGCGACTGTCCACCGGGATTCGGCGGTGATGACTGCGCTGAGCCTTTGTGCGGCTCTCTGCCCGATGGGCGGGACCGAACTCCTCGCAAAGGGTCGACCTGCCAGTGCAAAGATGGCTGGTCTGGGATCAACTGCAACATGTGCGAGACCAACGATGCCTGTAACGCTATGATGCCGGAGAAAGAAGGAGGAGTATGTTATAGACATCACAATGGAGGAGAGACTATTGCCGAGAACTATCAGATGTGTGAAGTCACCAACAGAAAGATCCGCGACATGCTCAAGGAGAAGAAGCCGCAGGTTACGTTTTCATGCAAGAAAGAAGACAAGACTTGCAACTTTCAGTGTGAGTGTTGGCCCTGTCTTCTATATTCCTACGTTGATTGCTTGCGCTCACAGCTAACGGGTTATTTGTATTTGTCTAGTCTGGGTCGATCAACTCGAATCCTTCTACTGTTCGCTGGATACATGCAAGTGGAACATGGATATAACGGAGAACCAGAATATCACCACTTATCAGTGCGATAACATCAAGTGCGGCTGCGTTCCCGACCGAATGCTATGCGAGACCACCGGTGTTAGCTTAGAACCGCTTTTTGGGCAGCTTACTGGCCCAGCCAAGTTCACTTCGACCTCTACCAAAGGCGGCAGCCCCAAAGATGGAAGCGCATTCTCAGAGCCCGTCATTGATAAGGTGATATCTGATCTGTTTGGTGACAAGTCTATTCTTTTGGACTGTTATTCCAGCGAATGTCTATACAAAACGGCAGTACCCGGATACAAACCTCCCGTCAAGGTCATAAACACTCCGCTCATCGCTGGAGTCATTGCTGGTTGTTCGCTTTTCATTGTTGGAGTCATCCTCCTCATCTGGTACCTATCAAGACGGAAAGCTTACAACCAGTATCATGCTCTTGCTGATGACTCCGATGACGAAGGCTCAAAGCTCATGGCCGATCACAAGCCAGCATCTCTGCAGTTCGAAAATATTTCCTATTATATTAACGGCCAGCAGATTCTTAGTGGTATCCGCGGTATTGCTAAACCTGGCCAGGTCACTGCAATTATGGGAGCCTCTGGAGCAGGAAAGACTACATTTTTGGATATCCTGGCCAGGAAGAATAAACGGGGTATCGTTCACGGCGATATCTATGTTAATGGCGAAAAGTTCAACGACAGCGAGTACAAAAAAGTCGTTGGTTTCGTTGACCAAGAGGACACCATGTTACCAACACTAACAGTCCACGAAACTATCTTGAACAGTGCTTTGCTCCGCTTGCCGCGGGATATGAGCGATGCAGCTAAACAACAGCGGGTATACGAAGTTGAAAAACAGCTGGGTATTCACCACATCAAGGATCAACTTATAGGGTCTGAGGAAGGCAAAGGCCGTGGTATCTCCGGTGGTGAGAAGAAGCGTGTTAGCATTGCATGTGAACTTGTTACAAGCCCGAGCATTTTGTTCCTCGATGAACCTACAAGCGGTTTGGTAAGTGTCATGTCGTTTCTCTTCAATTGCTCAACCTGGGATTCCTGGTTTTGAATTCTCCTACTAACTTAGAACTAGGATGCTTTTAACGCTTTCAACGTGATAGAATGTCTTGTCAACCTGGCCAAATCGTACAACCGTACTGTGATTTTCACGATCCATCAACCTAGATCCAACATTGTAGCCCTATTTGACCAGCTGATCCTGCTTGGAAAGGGAAAGACAGTCTTTTCAGGGCCATATTCAAGCTGTCAGTCCTATTTTGACAACATCGGATACTCCTGCCCACCCGGATTTAATATTGCGGATTACCTTGTTGATTTGACAATGCATGCGAGCCAGTCCCGGTCCACTGAGGAGCCGACTGTTAATGTTGATTCTCATGACAACAACTTCCGAACTGCTTCCAGCAGCCTGAGGGCCGTCAAATCAGTCGCCAGTGCTTCTATCGCCAGCATTGATAATGCTAGTGCAGTGGACAGTGGCCAGGAATTGTTACTGAGACCCAAGGACAAACGGCGATCATCTCTCAAGCAACGTCAGGACAGACAGTTATACACTCGCAAGAGAGGTTCTGGACTTGAATCGCCACCAGATCCTCAGACAGACAATGAAGACGGCCATGTTATGAGCTTAGCTGAGCGTGCTCAGCAATGGCTACCACTCTCTAGACAACAGGGTCAAGTCCCTCCGCAAATCATCCAAGACCCGGACCATCTTCCTCCAATTGCATCTGGATTCGTCACTGATCTCGATGTGCTTGTTTCCTACTATGCCAATTCAAACGTGGCCAATGCTATTCGTGATGAAATATCTTCTTCCGTTCAAGACGCCCTTGCTGCCAATGGACAGGCCAATACATCACAACAAGCTAGCGACGTCGTGACCGGCCAAATGACCGGCTACGCCAGAGTTGGACTAATAAGACAATTTATTATTTTGTCCAGCCGCACCTGGAAGAATCTCTATCGAAACCCCATGCTTATGCTCACTCATTACGCAACCGCAATCCTGCTTGCCGTTTTGTCTGGATATCTCTTCTACGGTCTCACAGATGACATTAAGGGATTCCAGAACCGTCTTGGCCTATTTTTCTTCCTCCTTGCCCTATTTGGTTTCAGCACCCTGACAAGTTTGACCGTCTTCTCCTCTGAACGGCTCCTTTTTGTCCGAGAACGTGCCAATGGATATTACTCTCCAGTCACCTACTTCACAGCCAAGGTCCTGTTCGATATTGTACCCCTGCGACTGATCCCTCCTATCATAATGGGTGTCATAGTTTACCCCATGGTAGGACTTATCCCAGACTGGCCGGAATTTTCGAAATTCATCCTCGTCCTTGTGCTCTTTAACCTGGCAGCGGCAGGGATTTGCTTGCTGATCGGTATCGTCTTCCGAGATCCAGGCGTTGCGAACTTGATTGGTAGCTTGGTGATGCTGTTCAGTCTTTTGTTTGCCGGTTTACTGCTCAACCACGATGCAATTCCAGCTTCGGCACTCTGGCTACAAACCGTAAGTCCTAACCCTTTGGTCCTTACGGAGTTCCATTTTGCTAACGTTGCGTAATATAGTTATCCATCTTCCATTACGCATTCGAGGCTCTGATTGTCAATGAAGTCACTTTCTTAACATTGATTGATCATAAATATGGCCTCGACATCGAAGTTCCGGGTGCGTCTATCCTGAGTGCCTTTGGTTTCAACAACCTCGCCTTGTGGAATGACGTAGCCGGTCTGGGCGTTATCTCCGGTATTTCCATCATCATGGCCTACGCAGCCATGCATTTCTTGCTCGTCGAGAAGAGATGAGAGACATAGCCCCGAGATCACATTGTTACACCATAGAGCATTTCATTTGTTCGGCATTTCATTCCTCTTCCGCTTCCCAACCCTCCTTCCTCGCTGGACATCATTGTATATAACATCCACCCCGACGACACTATCGTCCTGTACTGGCAGCGCTCTCCGATTGTTTGTTTATTAATTGCTGCCTGGTCCTTTCTTGCCAGTCGCCATCCCTTTATATGATAGATGCACGATGGCCTCTTTTGGTGTTTTCTAGAATAATATCCACTCAGCTGTATCCCTCGTCAAGGATATTTCGGTGTAGCTATCTTAACTCCTAGTAACACATTTCTAAAAAGTCCCATGGTCCCATATCAACCGCTTCATGATACAGAGGCTTGTAGAAGCTTTTACGGTATAGTACGCACTGCAAAGATAAGCTGGTGACTCACGGAAGAGATAGGAGCGGGGATCGCGTTTAAGTTAACCTAGGTAGTCAGATCAACTGGCTGGCTAGCTAACTAATTGGATATATTATTTGGGCTCCCTGCAATAACTACACCGGACATAGTCACTTTTTCGTCAACCGCCGGACCACCACCAACAGCAAGAGACAAACAGGCAACATGGCCGAAATTGATTGCCTCGCCGTTGATCGGGTACGTGAGCTAACAAATCTGCCCCGCCATAGACGGGAAGGACATAATTAAACTAACCATAGACTGCGATACGTAACTATTCTAGTGGATTAAAACAAAGGCTACAGGAGCCAAATATGATCTCTCCAGCTCCTGCGCAAAGCCCATGTCGATACAGGAGCTAAAGGAGCTCTCTGAAGACAAGTCAGAATCTAACCAGGGTCCCTTGCCGGCGCAGCTTCTGTCCAAATGTCTCGGGTATGGCGAGATGGCAGGTTCGAAGGCGCTGCGGTCGACCCTGGCTGGCTTGTATTCCGTCAAGACGCCTCTGCCGCTGCCAATTGATAATATTACTATTACCGCCGGTGCTTCTCCGGCTAATTATTTGGTCTTCCAGGCTCTATGCAAGCCCGGGGATCATGTCATTGTTCATTATCCAACTTATCAACTGCTGTATGCCGTGCCTCAAACTCTGGGCGCAGTGGTTAGTTTTTGGCAGTCGAAAGAGGATGATAAGTGGAAGCTGGACGTTGAAGAGCTGAAGACTCTCATCAAGCCGAATACTAGGATGATTGTGCTAAAGTAAGTAGTTAACTAACGATCCCTTTGTGAAATGAGAAGCTTTGATTAAATGTAATCTGTACGAGTACAGCAACCCGCAAAATCCCACAGGTGCAATCATCCCTCGGTCAACATTGATCGAAATCATAACCGTGGCCAGGGAGAACTCGATTGTGGTCTTCAGTGATGAAATATTCAGGCCCCTATTCCATTCTATCCACCCTGGAGATAAGGAGTTCCCGCCCTCAGCACTCTCCCTGGGCTACGATGATGTAGTAGTCACCGGATCAATGTCCAAAGTCTACTCGCTGCCTGGTATCCGCGTTGGATGGATTGCATCTCGCAACAGGGCACTCATCGACAAGTGTACAAAACTGCGAGCGTACACGACTCTGTCCGTTAGCCAGCTCGACGAAGCAGTGGCTGCGTATGCCCTGGATGGTCACTGCTTGCATGCGCTGCTGAAGCAGAACACAGACCTCGCACGGGAAAACCTCGTTCTTCTCGAGTCGTTTATAGAAAAACACAAGTGGGCCTGCGACTGGGTTAGGCCAGTTGCTAGCAGCGTTGCATTCGTCAAGTTCTCAAAAATGGGGAAGCCTGTAGACGATCTCGAGCTCTGCCATCAGCTTCTCCAGGAGAAAGGAGTATTGCTGGTTCCCGGATCACAGGGGTTTGGCTCCAACAGCTTGTTTGCAGGATATGTTCGTATTGGGTACGCTATTGATATGGAGGAGTTTAAGACTGGATTGGCTTTGTTGAAGGAGTTCATGGAGGAGTATTATGAGAATGTCCCACTGGCAGGTGGGCGAAAGCTTGCAATACGATAGAATCTTTGGGTAATATATGGAGCTACTTACGAAATCCACCTCTGACCTTCAAGCGTGTATAATATTTTTAGTGTAAATTTAAGTAGAGAGGGCCATTATTTAGGGCCGTCGGAAATGTCAAAGGACCCAAAGCGTTGTTTTAAGCATTGCTCGCTTCGCTTATACTCCGTATGATCTGCCGTCTGGAGTTTTCTCGTGGCTGTTTCATTCCATTGATGAACGCCAAACATTTTCCATATTGACAGAGCTACTCCGTATTGCAGAGGATAGAAGATTTCTCGTTCCCTATCCTGCCCATCAGTCATCTGAGACGGTTATTGGAGCAGCACGAAGCATGACTTTTTGACTCTGGCGATCATCACTGCGAGTATTCGGTAGCATCGGACTTGAGTGAAGTCGGCGCTATTGAGCGACGGAGGACAATCCATGAGTCAGGAGATGTTCGCCCGTCCAGCGTGGTTGGCCGCGGTCGGAAGAGGATAGGTGGACCAGGCATTCAAAGAATTTATGGAGTACGGAGTACTTCATACGAAGAACAAGTCGAAAACATGCGGAGAAAGCGCAAAAGAGAGCTGTCGATCGCTTTCTAGAATAATATCTAGCCTCCAGTGATGTGCATGCGACGGGGCTTAGCCAACACTGATCGGCACAGATGGCAGGTGACGGCAGGATAATTGGGCAGAAAGGTCTCCAGGCCATCAGAAAAAGCAGAATGTGGACTGTCCATTCACGAAAATGACTGTACTCTTTTTTGATCGTCAAGAAGGTGAGCAGTTGCATGGTCGTTGGTCACTCGTTGCATGCCTTTGTTAGCTCCTTAGCTGTGCGGCTGACCGGAACATTTTACAAGTCGCCTTGGTAAGCGACACGAGAGCGTAAGTTCTTCGTTCCGGGGGCGGCTATTTTCCTTTCTTCAAGGGGAAGAGAAAGCCGTTTGGCTCCGAAAAAAAAAACTCAAGGGGCCCTGTAGGAGTACGGGATGAGACAGCTCATCTTCAGCAGCCCTGGTGCCGCTTCGTCTGCTCCTGGCTCTGCTCCTGACTCCGCCCATAGTAGGCTGCAAATATAGTCGCCACGTTGAAGTGTCCCTCCTACTCCGCCTTGGCTGGGGTAGTTCATGATAATGCCCAGGAAATAGTAGTTAAGGGTTCTTGAAGTGTTGTGGGATCTCACTAAGATTCCTCCCGAGCCAGACAGGAGTTTCAAGCTTGCTGGGCCGGCTGGCTCAGGGAGGAAGATACCGACTAGACACACTCATATTCTACGGACGAGCGGATGGCTAGCAGTGTGCGTTGCAATGATCGGGAACCAAGGAAGGCCTCACGCCAAAAAAAAAAAAAAAAAAAAACCGTTTCTTTGGGCTCTCCCTCGATGTTCACCCCGGAATTCGACAGCACAAGCCGGGAGTTTCCGAATGCTTAGCATTTCTTTCATCCTTCCATACCTGTCGAAGATGATGCCCAGGAGATCGCCTCTTTGGGAACATGAGGCATATGGAAGCCTGTTTGCTGGATATAACGATCCTCGCTGGTAACCCTCAACTTAGGTTCGACACATGCCATGGGCCAGGGGTACGAGAGGCTAAATGGCCTAGGGTCCCGGAAATCATTTTAAATTAGAGAAAGAAAGTGGACTTGGAGGGATCCATGCGACTGCAAACCGGGGCAATAGCACCGACCACCGGGCAATTATAGTGGAAGTATATATCACTCTGCCGAACAGTCGTCTCTGATACGATAAGATATGTACCAAGGAGACGACAGGCGGTCGCGAGAACGTGCTGCAACCGGATATGAATCCATCCTCTCTGGTAGACGACATATTAATGACAGTGTAAATAGAACTATAATAGCCGACAACACGGAATGCTACCTCGAGTTTTTCTGGAAACGGGCTTCATATCTGCTGTACTTATCGTTCTGTGGAGATGCCTTCCACGCATGCCGAGCCGGGATACGACTGAGGAAGGTTAGCTTGTTGTTTGCTGCATCCTGACTTGCATCCGAACTCACGATGACAGCCCGCAGCCTGGTGCAGTCCGACCTCCGATTGACTGCTTTATGCAGTGTTTATCCCTTCCCCAGAGCTTTTTGCCACGGACAAGCTGGCTCCCCGGTCTTTTCCCGCCTTCCCCACAGAGCATGCGACGGCAGACTTGTTTGTCGATGAGGTCTTGTTGTTGTTGTGGCCGCATATGCAGTTATAGCGGTGGTTGTAGTTAGTTGGTTGGTTGTGGTTGATGATATGGCGGGTGTCGTGATAGCCATCGCTTACGGTGGACCGCACGGACTTGTGCTCGCCCAAAATTTAACAAAAAAAAAAAAAAAAAAAAAAAAGGCTGTTCGTAGATCGGCTCAACCACAACTCGCTGTGCCTGAACATCTGAACATCACCATCTCCAGCAACCGCAGGCTGAAGAAGTATGTGGTCGACATGGATGCCATCGAGGGCGTGGGAGGTGACGAAGGCCAAGAGAGAAAAAGGGGCTTTGGACAGGGGAAGGCCCTGGTCGGCTGGTCCATCAGATCTTCACGTCAAACCATCAACCTGCGACTCTGCTTTGGCAACGACAGCTGCCTCTGTGCTGTTTGGGCGGCCTCGAACTGCGTTCTTTGAAGCCTTTTTTCAGGTACCATGCAAGCTTAGCACCGGCTTTTGGCCGTCCTCAAACACTAGCATGCTTCGTGGAGCGGGAGCCATCGCAGAAGGGGCAGGCGATGAGACGCCCATGGAGCGATCATCCTACCAGCATGTCTTTCCCCGCAAGAACAACCAAGTAGCGTCGTGAAGGATGGAAAAGGCCATCTGAGAGGGACAGACAAGCTGAGAGGAAGAGGGCAGAGCATGTCTCATCCGAGCCCAGCCGGGTGGACGTCTTCATGTCTCGATATGTCTTCGATGCCTCGTTGTAGGACCCCCCTTACGGAGATCTACACTGCAACCCCAGATGAGCCAGAGGACGTCTGCCAATGACAGTTACATCCAGGCTGCAATTGTTATGTCATTATTATTATCATCATTAGAAACAGCATTACCAGCATCAATCGAGCTAGATGGAGGCAAAAGACCGCCGGCCGCATGCCTGCAATTACTGGCGAACCAACGAACTCCCGCTTACTCTGAATCTGTTCCTTTCGGACCTCACTACGCTTGACGGGACATGAATGGAGTTAGGCTGTGACCTAATATTTCCCAGGATACGGGTCTGATGTTTGATATATGGACTGGCAGAACCAGCAGCACCAGGACGACGTCTGTGGTAGGACGATATACAAGCCTCGGCATGACCGACTCAGACGATCGACGGGGCTGAAGCTGCGTTAGCTCCCCAGTGGAAGCGCGAGAAACCCCGTATAATATCTCCCCTTGCTTGGCGAACAAGGGCAGGCCAGTTATCAGTTATGCTCCGTCTTCACTCCTTTGCCTCCTTCTGATATGATTGAGGTTTGACACGGACCGAGATGAGCGGGGATTCTTCCATCCATACCATACAACCAGACACAGTCCAGCACAATCAAGCTCTCTTGGCCGGGCGAAAGCCTTCCTAGGCTGCATGCTAGTTGGCCTAGCTCACGAGGAAACATCATGGAAGGCCAAAGTGCAAAAAAAAAATTATACCCTAGGACCGTATCCTCATCCACCATACCCTGGGCACAAGACCAAGAGACCCGACACGGCAGAGATGATAAATGGGAATTAGCAAGGGTGAAGGAGCTCTATATAAGATGTCGAAGATGTCCCTCGAAGTCCGTTCAGAAGAATCAAGCCAGAGTTCCTGACTCGGACAACAAGCCTGACTCCTTCACATCCTTCCTTCACTCTCTTATTTCTAGTTTGGTCTTTCAAGTGAAGCAGGTATTCTCTGAAGACAGACACCATGCACGGACTTTTGCTTGCTGGCCTCGCGGCAGCTTTGCCCTTGGGCGTTGCTGGTCTTCCAGCCCGTCAACAATCTGGTCTCAGCCCTCGCGGCGTTGATATCAACCCTTACCGCTTTGCCTCCATGGCCAAGTACTCCGAGCACAAGTCCACCTCCCAGATGGTGCACTCCTTCTCCTACTCCAAGGATGATGACTACGTTGCCACTGCCACCAAGCTCGTCAAGAGCACCTTCCCCAACATGACCTTCCGCACCGTCAAGGACCACTACATTGGCACCAACGGCATTGGCCACGTCCACTTCAAGCAGACTGCCCACGGCATTGATATCGACAACGCCGACTTCAACGTCAACGTAAGTATATTCTCTCACGTTGGTCATTCAATGGCCCTGGAATTATACTAATAGACCGTTATAGATTGGACGTGATGGCAAGGTCTTCACCTTCGGAAACTCCTTCTACGAGGGAGAGATGCCAAAGACCAACCCACTGACTAAGCGTGACTTCTCTGACCCCGTCAAGGCCCTCCAGGGTGCTATCAAGACCTTGAAGCTTCCAGTCAAGCCACAGAGCGCTAAGGCTATGCCAATGAAGGAGGCCGAGACCTTCAAGTTCGAGGGTACCTCTGGTGCTCTCTCCGACCCAATGGCCAAGCTCGTTTACATCCAGAAGGATGGCAAGCTCCACCTCACCTGGAGAGTTGAGACCGATGTCGGTGACAACTGGCTCCTCTCCTATGTTGATTCCAAAGAGACCGAGACCGTCCACAACGTTGTCGACTACGTTGCCTCTGCTGACTACAAGGTCTTCGCCTGGGGTCTCAACGATCCAACTGAGGGCCAGCCCACCATGATCAAGGATCCATGGAACACCACCGGCACTGGCTCTCCATTCACCTGGCACGGAGACGGCCAGATGGACTACACCGTCACCCGCGGTAACAACATTGCTGCTCAGGACAACCCAAGCGGTGGCGAGCAGTGGGAGAACAACTACCGCCCAGACAGCCCCGAGCTCAGCTTTGTCTACGAGTACAGCGAGCAGATGGAGCCAGATCAGTACAAGGACTTTGCTATCACCCAGCTGTTCTACACCACCAACACCTACCACGACGTTCTCTACGCTCTCGGTTTCACTGAGGAGGCCGGTAACTTCCAGATGAACAACAACGGCAAGGGAGGTGAGGGCAACGACTTCGCCATCTGCAACGCTCAGGACGGCTCTGGCACCAACAACGCCAACTTCGCTACTCCCCCAGATGGCCAGAACGGCCGCATGAGAATGTACACCTGGACTACCGCCCAGCCATCCCGTGATGGTGACCTCGAGGCCGGTATTGTCATCCACGAGTACACTCACGGTCTATCCAACCGTCTCTGCGGTGGTCCTGCCAACTCCAACTGCCTTAATGAGCTCGAGGCCGGTGGTATGGGTGAGGGCTGGGGTGACTTCTACGCCACTGCCATCCGTCTCAAGCAGGGTGACACCCACGACACCGACTACACCATGGGTGAATGGGCTGCCAACATGAAGGGCGGTATCCGTGAATACCCATACTCTACCAACATGCAGACCAACCCCTACACTTATGCTGATGTGCAGGGCATGGACGAGGTCCACGGCATTGGTACCGTCTGGGCCACCATCCTCTACGAAGTCCTGTGGAACTTGATCGATGAGCACGGCATGAGCAAGAACATCATGCCCAAATTTGTCAACGGTGCTCCATCTGACGGCCGCAATCTTGCCATGAAGCTGGTCCTCGACGGAATGACCCTCATGCCATGCAACCCCAACTTCATGCAGGCCCGTGATGCCATCATCGATGCCGACCAGGCCCTCACCAACGGCCAGAACAAGTGTGCTCTCATGAAGGCCTTCTCCAAGCGTGGTCTTGGTGCCAACTACAAGCACGGCAAGAACCGTGTCAACAACTTCGACATGCCCGCTGACTGCTAAATCCAACGCATAACGGAGTATCATACACATGTTTTGACATACTTGAAATGTCCTACTTTTTGATTATCTCTTCGCCTTTATCATGTACATAGTTTTTTGACAGGCAAGGGAGTGTACATAGCAAGCATCAATTCAATTTTCACTTTAGCTGAACCTCCTCCACCTTTCTTTTCAGTTTCATCCACTGTTACTCGACACTATACCTACGACTATTGATTAGTATTGACGGGTCATATTGATTGAGGCTGCCACAGGCTGGTAGAGTGACTGATAGCCGTACCCTCAAACCGCGTCTCAGTGTGCCAGCCAGCATCAAGGATCCATCTCTCGCGGTTCCAGCATGTTTCATCCCACCCGCAAAAGGAAATTATACCTGATACTGTTCCAGACGCGTCAGACAGAGCTGCCTTGCACACAGGCTATCGACATCCACTGTTCATTTCCCTGAAGACCGTCTCTAGCTATCCAGCCTGTCGGTCGAGACATTCAAATAAACAATTAAAGACGCGGAAACATGCAAGGATGACCCTCTGCCGGTGTGAAACTCAGCTGTCGGAGCCATGCAGGCGCAAAACTAATTCTCCCACTCCCGAGATGCATCAGATGGCAATGACATGGCTGGCCCATGGTACTAGGTGTGGCTTGGGATCCCTCGCGTCGCTTAAGGGCTCGACTTCAGTCTGGGCGAGTTGGCCAGGGGGCCCAAGTTATCGAATGGACTGTTCTTTGCTTGTTTTCGAGAGTATCACTTGGAAAGAAGCATCATAACACTGGCTGTATTTTTCTAGACATAACGGACGTTGGCAGATTTTTCGACGGGCCTTGCTGGCCTCCCGATTACTGCCTGGCTTGTTCTCCTGATGTCGGCAAGGCTCCCGCATACACTACTCTATATACCCTAAATATTACCCCAGGCATGGCAAGGGGCTTCTATGGCTATGTCTTCCGGAGACTCAGAGTACCAAGGAGGACTCTATGTTGAATGGAACCCATTGCATGATCTCAACGATAAAGCATCTACTGTCCTTAAGATATCGTGTCAGAATCTAAATATTGCTTTGGATATGAGATCTTCGGCAGCTCACCAACAAGCCATGGCTAAGGGCCACTCGTAAACGTTATGGTGCCAAAGACAGGCCCTGTGCTGTGGTTTCGGCCAATGTGAAGCCAGCTATTCTTCCATTATGCCCCGGCATAAAGATCTTCTCCCTACAGTGATCAAGGAGCAAATGGTATTATATCCGTGCCAATCAAGAGGCTCATCATATGAACTTGCATACCTTTCCAGTGCATACCTAGGTTTACGCCATGACTAGAGTGAAGCCATGGGAGTTCGGAAGGGCAATACTTTATAAAGTTGACGAGAGACTATAAAAGCGATGATGACCCGGAACAGCCACCTTTGTACAGCAGATCCCCCGTTTTTGAGCTGCCATTGGGAGCTTAGAGTGTTTTCGTCTGAGAGCTGGACGCGGATCCTACCAAAAGATGTCCAAACAGAATCTACTTCGGAATGTTTTTGAACGACAATATCTTGATGGAAAGCTGTACGGCCACAAGTTCCATTGAGAATAATCATGGGGATCACAGTGATGGGTGTCTTCCCGGGATCATGAGATGGCCTTCCTCCTGCGCCTAGAGAATCACTTGGAGCATTCTATACCTACGTCTTGACAAAACGTAGCTGTCTGGGGCTATCCTTGAGGCCAATAACTATTCTATAGTACCTTGGTCGACATATCTATCTCTCCTTGCGTTTGATAACTATGCAGAGATGCTTGAAGCATGAAGCAGCAGTAGTAGCAGTCAACGGCAGCTCAGAGTCTTTTAAAGTCGTAGTACCAGTTATTCATTAATGATACACCGGCATGTCTGCAGCATCCGCCGTCCGCGGTTATTTTATATATTGTCAGTATTTCGGCGGCCCTTTCGTCCTGCATGCTGGGCGTTCGTATCCCTGGCCAAAACCCCCTTCACATGCCGCTGCCCCAGCGCTGGGAGATCTTGTCCCTTGCTGCGACGACGCCGAGTGCAGCAGCCAGCCAGCAGCCAGCCAGGCTCTTTTCTCGCACGCCTTCTCGCGGCCTGCTGCGTCCTGTCCTCTGCCTTCGCCCGCAACCCCGAACCATCTAACTTAAGCAGATCAGCGCCGCCTTCAGACTTGCCGAGGTTCATCCCTTCACGCGCTGCCGCCGCTTCTTTCTCGCTCCCACCGAGAGGCCTCAACCAGCCCGCCGCCCGCCGCGTCTTCCCCTTTTCCCCATACTCGGTCTCTTAACATATATTATTCCCGATCGGCCCCGTCGCGCGGCTTCTCCTATCGTTGCACCATGATCTCTGCGGCCGGGAGATCGCTCATTGACGACAGCTGGGACGGGAGGATCGAGATCAGGTACCGTACGAGGGCGAGCTATTCGACAGTTAGGTTGACTACCTTGATCCGCGCTCTTGCCACCGTGTGAGCCTTTTGCGCATAGATTTTAACTACTAGGTTTAAGACGGAGCTCCTCTCTTGCATCATCTGGCAGCCATGAGCGTCCTTGAGAAGATAGGCAGCATGGCATCCATGGCAGGTAGGGAACCACTGCGGTGTCCTCGTTCGTTATCGTCTATCAGCTTAGCAGTCGGCTAATTCGTTCTGCGGTTCTTCAAAGCAGGACTGCCAGACCTACCAGATATACCCCTATCAGTGGCCGGTCCAGCTGCTGTTGCGACATTTGCCTACCTGAACGCAAGGCTAGCCATTTCCCACGACCTAGGGCTGATAACAAGATACGTGCGAGCACTCATACGAGGAGCCCTCAAAGACCGGAGCAACAAGTGGAATCACTTCTATCTGCTGGAGGAATTCGCCCTGGACCCCAAGAAGGCAAAGGAGGTTTTTATCGTGTACCAGGGCAAAGAGTGGACGTACCGGCAGACCTACGACATCGCCCTTCGATACGGAAACTGGTTCAGGAACGTTCACAATGTCAATGCCGGAGAGGTCGTTGCAATGGACTTCATGAACTCGGCCACCTTCGTGTTTGTCTGGATGGGATTATGGAGTATTGGTGCCCTTCCGGCGTTCATCAACTACAACCTGACGGCTGCTCCATTGGCTCATTGCGTCAAGGTGTCTACTGCAAGGTTGCTTCTAGTAGACAACGAGGTCAGACATGCTGTTCCGCCAGAAATGGTTGAGAAGCTAGGAGCTCCGGACTTCAGGGAAAAGGGAGGCGCCGTGGAGGTGGTGTTCCATGACGAGAGCTTGCAGGCCAAGATCTTGCAGAGAGAACCCTGGAGAGCTCCAGATACGGATCGACAGGGTCAAGCGCGGTCTGATGCTGGAATCCTCATTTATACAAGCGGTACCACGGGCATGCCCAAGGCGGCCATTCTCCCCTGGGCAAAACTCCTTCTCGCGGGAACATTTGTTTCTAAATGGTTGGGATTCTCGAAATCTGATCGCGTTTACACGGTATGTCGTCTTTGTCTAGCGGCTTGACTGACTATCAAAAGTCTAACGATATCAAACTAGTGTATGCCACTCTATCACTCGACAGCTGCGGTCCTAGGATTCTTCGCCTGTTTAGCTAGTGGAACCACTCTTTGTATTGGCCACAGGTTTTCTGCTTCTCATTACTGGGATGATGTACGAGCTACTAATGCCACGGTCGTCCAGTATGTTGGAGAAACCATGCGCTATCTCCTAGCCACTCCAACCCAAAAGGACCCTGAGACCGGTGAAGATCTCGACAAGAAGCACAACGTTAGGCTGGCATATGGCAACGGACTACGACCAGATGTTTGGGACAAAGTCAAGGAGCGATTCGGAATCCCAACGATAGGCGAGCTTTATTCGGCTACCGAGTCGACCTCTGGACTATGGAATCTTTCGTCCAACAGCTTCACTGCCGGATCTATCGGACGGTCTGGCCTGATTGCCGACCTGATTCTCGGTACTTCTGCCGCCATCGTCAAGCTCGACCATGACACGGAACTGCCATGGCGAGACCCAAAGACGGGACTGTGCCAGCGGATGCCCCGAGGCGAGCCGGGAGAGCTCCTATATGCCCTGGATGCGGCAAACATCAAGGATAAGTTCCAAGGATACTTCAACAACCCCAACGCCAGTAACACCAAGGTCCTACGAGATGTCCTGAAGAAAGGTGATGCCTGGTTCCGCACCGGCGATGTCATTCGCTACGACGCCGAGGGACGATGGTATTTCTCCGACCGCATCGGCGACACCTTCAGATGGCGAGGAGAGAACGTATCCACCAACGAGGTTGCTGAAGTTCTCGGGTCACATCCCCAGGTCCACGAGACGAACGTCTACGGCGTGCTGCTGCCTCACCACGAAGGCCGTGCTGGCTGTGCCGCCCTGATCATGGAAGGAGTCGACCCTGATGCCGAAAAGCTGGAGCCGTCGGCGGCTTTCCTATCTTCCCTGGGCGAGCATGTCACCGCGAACCTGCCGAAGTATGCTGCTCCTCTGTTCCTCCGCATCACCCGCGCGCTGGAGACGACGGGCAACAACAAGCAGCAGAAGACCTTGCTGCGGGCAGAGGGCGTTGACCCCAATGTCCTCGAGAGCAAGAACAGCAAGGACCTGCTTTACTGGCTTAGAGGGAAGACGTATGTGCCGTTCGAGAAGAAGGACTGGGAGAAGCTCAATGCCGGTCAGGTCAAGCTGTGATCTAGATACCAGCTGGTGATTCTAAGTCCATATATTACCGAGTAGCTAGTTAGAGTAGATGTTAATGTCAATAACTAGTTAGCTATTAATACTGAATGAGAGCACGCCTTTGCTTCAACATCCATCTGGCTCTACGCCCTTCACTTGACCTGACCGTCGACGGCTTCCCCTCGCAAGAAGAAGATATATTTTATATCTTGCTATTACCTAATTCTCGATCTCTGCGAGGAAAATAAATAATTAGCGCCCATTAAGAAAAATCGCCTTAGCCATCGCCAGTGCGGTGGAGCCAAGTCATCAGAAGGGCGTCCCTCCTCCACAAAGTCAGCAAGTCCAGGCACAACAAGCAGAGGAGGATATAAGAGCCAGGCTGTGCGGGCTCGGGGAGGCATTCATTTAACGATCAATTGACACTCATACTCCGCGCGAGAAGCAATAGCCATGGCATCAGCACAGAAGGCGACCAAGCTCTGGGGTGGGAGATTCTCCGGTGAGTTGAAGCAGCCCGACCCCCCCATGTCCCTTAGGTTACCCCGGAGTGATCTTCTATACATTAATACGGAATGCTATCTACTGTAGACATTGATACTGACAGCTTGGGCGTCAAACAGGCGAACTCGACCCGTTGATGGTCACCTACAACGAATCAATCAACTTCGACAAGGCCTTTTATGCCCAGGACATCAAGGGCTCTATCGCCTTTGCCCGCGCCAACGTTGGGACTGGCATTCTCACACAGGAGGAGTTCGCTGCCATTGAAAAGGGATTGAACCAGGTCCTTCAGGAATGGAAGGACGATAAATTCGTTATTCAGCATGGTGTAGATGAGGATATTCACACTGCCAATGAGCGTCGGTTGGGCGAGATTATTGGGAAGGACATTGCAGGCAAGCTCCATACGTAGGTATTTCATACCACGATCTTCGCAGAGAAAACAGTAAAAACAAAAGCTAATGGGTAGCTTGATAGTGGTCGAAGCCGAAATGATCAGGTTGCTACTGATTTGCGGATGTGGCTTCGGGACGAGCTGCGTGAAGCTGAAAAGTTCCTCGTTGAGCTGCTCACCATTCTCACGGATCGTGCTGCTTTGGACATCGACTATTTGATGCCTGGATATACCCATCTTCAGCGTGGACAGGTATGACACCTTTGTACACTTGCGACTAGTGATTTAGAGCTAATTTTTTTTTTTTTTTTTTTGGCATATAGCCTGTAAGATGGAGTCACTGGATGCTTAGCTACGGCTCTGCCTTCCTAGGTGACCTCGAACGTCTCCGTGAGGTGATAAAACACGTCAACAAATGTCCGCTCGGATGTGGTGCTCTTGCTGGAAACGCCTTTGGAATTGACAGAGTCGCCATGGCTGAAGAGCTTGGTTTCGAGGGGCTGATTTTGAACAGCATGGCCGGTGTTGGGGACCGAGATTTCATACTCGAAGCTCTACAGTGGGCATCAACACTGATGCTGCACTTGTCACGCTGGAGTGAAGATTTGATCATCTATAGCACGACGGAGTTTGGTTTCGTCAGGCTGTCTGACGCATACACCACCGGCAGCTCGCTAATGCCACAAAAGAAGAACTGTGAGTACTTGCTCATACCGTTTGAAAGGCTGGTCGATATATAGCGCATCTACTAATTGCACACAGGCGATTCTCTCGAACTCCTTCGTGGCAAATCGGCACGACTATTTGGTAGCATGGCTGGCCTAACAATGACCATCAAGGGCATCCCATCTACTTATAACAAAGATCTACAGGAGAGCGTTCAGCCAATGATCGAAAGCATGAAGACCGTCAAGGATAGCATCCTGATTGCTACCCGTGTCCTCGCAACCCTCACTGTGTTCCCGGAGAAGATGCTCGCTGCTCTAAGCCCCGACATGCTTGCTACCGATCTTGCCGAGTACTTGGTTCGAAAGGGAGTTCCATTCCGAGAAACCCACCACATCTCGGGCCGCGTTGTCGCGTTGGCAGAAAAGGAGAATATCCCCATGGATAAGCTGACATTTGCTCAGTTCAAGAGTGTTGACGAGCGACTTGGTGATGATGTTCTAGAGGTGTTCAACTACGAGAAATCCGTTGAGCTTAAGTCTGCCATCGGCGGTACCAGCCGATCGGCCGTCCTGAAGCAGATCGAGACTCTGAGAAAGTCCTTGTAGACTTTCAACTGGAGACATGCTTTCGGGATCTAATGTTATGGAGAAATAATGAGTAACTACGCCCTTGCAGAATTGGTAGGAGCGCGGAAAAATAAATCTGACTTTCGTGCCGATAGCTAGTTATTAATTCGTTGACAAGGGCATCTCCTTGTTATTTCCCTGTACGACGTCAAGCTGAAACGTCCTCAGCAGCTATACTCTGTACTCCGTAGGACCCAGGCACATTATTATAAATTATGCATAAAATGGGGCCCTCTTAATGCCCGATATTGAAGCTCATTAAGAACTAATGGGGGCCAGTTAGCCTGATTATCTCGGTCCTTAGTTAACGAATTGGTTAATGCGCCACAAATACAGAAGCTTTCCACCCTCAGTCTTCCGAACCTATTCACGCCGTCCTGCTCTGGGTAATCACCAGGGCCATTGGGTCCAAATATACCCAATGACTATTAAAATTGGACACTGCTCGAGTGTCGAGCAGCACACGATACCCTTGCGCTAATGTAGTGCTATTTTGTTCTCGGATGCTTCAACTTCTTAGCTACAGATCGGGCAGATGGAAAATGCGCGGATTCCAGTAGTCACGGGGCCAATATCAGTTGTCATGCCGGTGGATGAGTGAATATAGGTATATTGAATGCGTTTAAAGAAAAATGGCTTGAGTAAGATTAGGCACCCCTTACATGCACCGGAATGGCGGAACGGTGCCCAGAAAAAATAAAAGATTATCAGTCACAGGGCTTTGTTATCTTCCGTATGGCCTATTGACGACGGGAAATGTGTTGAATAAACGCTCCATCTAGCAGGCGGTTCAATATGGCCTGGCTATAGAATATGGAGGATACGAAAAGGATGTAGTTGTGAGAGCGAGAAGTGCGATGGTACTTCTAAAAGTCCTCATAAATGGCATAAAGTGGTGGTTTAGAAGGGCCAAAGCGCTCCATTTCATCCGTAGCGGAGCATTTCGGGCCGTTCAAGCTGTATATCTTCCCAAGGTTCGCCGGACGGGGTATATGATATGTTGCTATGCGTTTATCTAGAGACAGTACTCCGTAGTAGGTTCTGTCTTCTCCAGCTTCATACGAAGCACCAATAACGTGTCCCTTTACTTGTCATAAAGGATCCAGAGTAGAGCTTGCAGGGAGACGAGCCATATGATCCGGCTGATATATATAGTGAGAGGAACTATATACCACCAAGGTAGTTACCCGAAGGGGTGCTTCAAACGATTTTTTCGGAGGAACCCGGTAATTGAATAGGCTCGCCTTGTAATCGCCGGCTGCAATCACTTGGATGGTTAACGTCAAAGAAAATTCCCTTTGTAGGGGAAGCAAGTAAACTTTGGAGGTGCTCCGCCTCTCCAAAGGAACTCAAAAGAAGAGCCTCATCCAAAGAATATTCCCACCGAGTGTGCTCTATATAATCAACAGGCAATTCATTTAAAGCCAGGGTCATCTGGTATATATTCCGTATGTAATATCATGTGTGTAGGTTTCCCCTCTGACATAGCAGATCAGAGAGATAAGAAGTTAGCGATCAGGTCAGTCAATCATGTATATCAAAACCGACCTATCATTCAACTGATCAGATGCGATATTCGGAATTGGATCCACAGCATGTCATTCTAAAGGACAGGTGTTGATATCTCCAGTCATCGGCAATGTCAGGCGATGTCTATCAACATTGAACAGCCAGTAATTCTCTTTAAATCGTTTTGATCAACATATCATATTCCGTATATAACTCCTCCCTACATCAGTCAGCATACACCAGGTATAACTTACTCCGTACCACCACACCTGACGGCCCCTTTGTTTAGCAACTCCGTATACTCCGGACTCTGTGCTTTCGAGGGTACTGTGGGGCAGGTGTGGCATTAACAGTGCTGATGTAAACAGTAAGATGGCATGATCATCATACCATCGTAACCGCGGTGACCCTGTACTTTTAGCCAACACCCTCCCAAGCCTTTGTCAGACCCGGACATCAACCTAAACACGTACGGAGTATCGGTGTAGGAGGGACAGAACAACTTATTATTCACGCTCCAAGGTTTTATGCAGCCGAGTCGCACAAATGGAAAAGAGGCAAGATATTCGATAAGAGTCGATATTGCAACATTGGAGTCCCAGCTCAGCCCAACAGCATCTTCCAAGCCCGCGCTAGTCACGCTCTGGGCAAGGTTAGGTGATAAGGGGTATGGTAAAGGTAATCGACCAGGCTCGAACGCGTGGACATGTCTCATCGCTAACCATGGTGCATAATTTCAGCCGGACAGAGCCATAAAAAAAAAAAAAAAAAAAAAAGCTGCCACAAGGGGCGGGCGCCTATTTTACTCCATCGTAAAAATACATCGCATGTCGTCATGTACCTTGCTGAAACCAAGAGATCGGTTCACCAGAGGCTTAGCTAGTTAAAGATCCCGCTGGCTTTCGATGATCCCCCTTGGTAGCCAACGCACCCAACTCTTGCGGTTCGTCGAGAAGCACCGCGCTCGCTGCGGATCAGGCAGACCTCGCCCGCGGTCTGCCAGCCAACATGGGGCCGTGAGCTGGTTTCCCTCCCCCTCGCCCGGGACTTGGTTATCCTCTCACCCTCTGGACTCGGGGAATAATCGAAGTTGGTCGGTCTGGGCGCCGCTTACTTCCAGGCCCTGCAGGAAAGACCCCCTGTCGCTCCCTGCCAACTCGTAAGTCCTCTCTCTCTCTCGCTTGCTCTCTGAGACACCGCGCTCGGCGGGACTCACCTCGCCGCCCGCCTGCTCTGCCCTGCCGTCCAGCAGCCTCTCCCCGTAAACCTCTCCAGCAGGACCAGAGCACTTATGTATAGTTAGTTGCTGCGACGTCTATTAATATCTTTCACCCCCCGGCGCTGCGGCGACGACGAAATAAGAAATTTAAAGACGCCAAGGCCGCCGACCTTATTTCGCAGGCTAACCGCATTGGGACATGGGACGCGTGCTTCGACGCAGCGAAACTTCCCAGGCAAAACCCGTTTTGATATTCATAAGCAATTTGGGTGCACCGTCATCGTCGTCATCAGGACCGCCAACCACCGCCGCCGCCGCCAGCAAGCAGTGCCGTTATAGCATTAGCTGACAAAGAGCATGCTACCCCGGACGAACAGCGGGCGGCAGGTGCTGGCACGCTGACTGAGAAGGAGCCCGCGCAATAATAGTTACTTGGAGGAACGCCTTGTCTGAGATTACTTACGCTGGTGGAGAACAGTGACAGCGACTCCATACTTACACCAAGTTAATAGAACCCTCCCACTTTTGTTGGCAGCAGCAGCAGGGCCATCTGTTGCCGCCTGGGCACTCGAGATTTTTGGCTCGAGAGGTTCCTCTGTTCAAAATAATACTAACGCTACCACTTGTTGCTCTTTTTCCTTTCCCTTCATCCTGCGCAGTTTCATTATTTTTTGGCGTCACTGTCTTTAATTATAATTCCGAATCTGCTCCCCTCCCCTTCCTTTCTTCTCTTCTTTCTCATACAGTTCCTCCTCTGCTGCTTCCGCTCCAGCTTAATATACGCCGCACGGTGTCCGCCTTTCTACCTTAATTAGCAGACTCCAGAGGATGGGCTGGCGGCTTTCGTTGTCCGTCGCTTGCTGAATATGAATATCCCTCCGTTCCGGCCGTCGCGTGCCCTTGCATTCTCGCTGCTGGTCGTCTCGCTCATAGCGTCAAAGTGTCTGCATCTGCTGCAATTCGTGGGCTCGGTCCCGCTACTACATTTCATCGTCTTCCTTCCAACGCTATTCATTTCAGATTGCCTGGTCGCGCTTGTTGGTCGGGTATTGCTCCATGGCGGTGGTGGTGGTGCCCTGCCAGCTATCGGCCTGGCGCTGGGGAGCTTTCTCTCGTACGTATCTATTTCTTACCTTTTCACGCACTTATATGATAACTGCGATTATGCGCCTCTGCTCCTTGCTAACCGACTATTCTCTAGGGCGGTAACTTTTCTGGCCGCTTCGTCGCAGATCGGCTTCTACTATGTCACTGGAACTGAGATGCAGTGGGATAATGCGAGAAATGTTGCCTCGGATCCTGCTGCCGTACGTATAATGCTCAGTGGACTCCTCCAAGTATCAGTCTCGGGGTTGGTGCTTTTGCTTTTGGGTTGGATCTTGACACCGTTCCTTTACAACAGGATTGGATACTGGATGTCGGGAGTCTGGAGGATGTTCACGGGTCCCAAGTGGGAGGCGGTACTCCCGACGGTGCGAAACCAGAATGAGCAGTCACAGAAAGGGGGTATCAGAGTCAAGCCCGTGTGCTTGGTTGTGATCTTTGTGACGCTGGTCATCTTGCAAATATTGCGGCCGTCAACGCCTTATGGGCTCATGTCAACCACTATCCCAGTAGCCATGCTACGGATGTTCTCAAGGCCTCACTCACACTCGCATCCGGATTCAAATGCAGACAAATGTTCACCACACGTCGCGGCCTATCCGCTTGTAAACCTCACCACGCCGGACAACTGGGAGAAACCAAATGGCAATTTCAAAGGCTGGGCGCCAGGCCCAGATAATGATATGATCAAAAGCTACCGTAACCGCCGCCCAGAATGGCTCCCCCATACCCTTCCAGACGGGTTCTTTCGATGGGGCAAACCATCTGAAGATGAACAAAATGCTACATCGAGCACGACGGAGTGCAACAAGACTGCCTCGACTACATACTACTATAATCCTGTTGCAGATCCTATGCGTATCACTAACCTAGATCTTGGGGTATACAATGACCTGGAAGAGGTATTCCGGAATGAATCCGTCCTCATCTCGCATGTGTTGCTGATCACCATGGAAAGTGCACGCAAAGATATGTTCCCTATGCAGGAAGGCTCATTCGTGCATAAAGCTATCATCGAGTCTAATGAAGAGGAAGAACAAAAGGAGAAGAACAAGCTACTTTCACAGTTGACACCGGTTGCCCACCAGATCACTGGCGAGGGTTTCTGGAATAAACTCAAGCCAAATCAGTCTGCATTTGGAATCCCAGACGGCACATGGAAAGATTCCGCAGCTCCGGGAATGGGGGGCCTCAACATCAAGGGTGCCGTGACTGGAAGCACCTTATCTGCAAAAAGCTTCATAGGCAGCCACTGTGGAGTCCATCCGCTGCCGGTTGATTTCCTGGAAGAGGTGACCACGAACATCTACCAGCCATGCATTCCTCATATATTGAATCTGTTCAATCAGGCCAAGGAAGGCCACGAGGAGAGAGCAGCGGGCAATCATAGCGCATCCAATAAAGTGCCCCATGTCAAGAAGCGCAAATGGAGATCCAGGTTCATACAGGCGTCCACAGATGGGTATGATAGGCAAGGAAAGTTAAACAAGCAGCTCGGGCTGTCGGACTTTATCGTCAAGGAGACTTTGACGGATCCAACGTCAAAGTATTACCCTCCCAAGCACCCTGAGCTCAACTATTTCGGGTAAGCCTTTCTGCCCCTTTTCGTGGTAGGCGGTAATGATTGAAGCTGGCTTTAACACTTACCTACTCTAGATATCCCGATGAAGAAATGAAGCCATGTATCAGCGATACCATTGACGAGGCTTTAGAAAACAATGAACGGCTCTTCCTCTCACATTTCACCAGTACCACTCATCATCCATGGAAGGTTCCATACGAATTCAATCGCGAGAAATATACTGGCTCCAAGGGAAATGCGGACCATGAGAATATGAATAAGTATCTCAACACCTTGCGATACGACGATGCCTGGCTGGGCCAGATATTGGGTTTGCTTGACGAAAAGGGTATTGCCAACGAGACTTTGGTTGTCGTTCTGGGAGACCAGTAAGTTCCCTTTTGTCGATGTTGTGCAAAGATGAAATGCTAACTCCGTTATATCGCAGCGGACAAGCATTTGAAGAAGATGCTCCTGTCCAAGGCACTTATCAAAACGGTCACATCAGCAATTTCCGGGTCCCTATCGTCTTCCGCCATCCGCTTCTTCCTCGTATCAATGTGGAAGCTAACGCAACCTCGATGAGCGTTCTTCCTACGATCCTCGACCTTCTCGTGAACTCCAAATCACTCGATGCCCACGACGCTTCTATCGCCCAAGACCTTATCCACGACTACCAGGGACAGTCTCTTATCCGTCCCTTCAGGTCAGAGTACAAAGGTCGACAGGCCTGGAACATTGCTGTCATTAACGCAGGCGGGAAGATGATCTCCGTATCGTCTGCAGCAACACCATGGCGGGTTGTGGTCCCGCTCGACGGCGAGTCGCAGTATGTCTTCAGCGACCTCCGCACAGATCCGAACGAGCTTGACACTCTTACTGGCTGGAAAATCGACTATCTGCTCCCCGCCGTGAAAACCAAACACGGCGCGGCTGCGAGACAGTGGCTCAAGGAAGCCGATGAGGTTGCCAGCTGGTGGGTGAAGGAGATGCATCATCTCTGGAATTACAACAAAGACTCGAGCAGCTAGTCAGTCAGCCGGTCAAGCTGAGGATGAGCGTTTGATCTTCGAACGGCCGTACCCCCACGGCCTGACCAAAAAAAAAAAAAAAGACCCCTGAAGAAAGAGGATCAGGGCCCCATACTTTGGCTTGTTACTTGGTACTTTGCACGGAGTACAACTTCATTTTCTGTCCGATGAGATTCACGAAAACGATAACGAATGCCCTTTGAAAGCGATTCCCTCCATATGTCTGTGAGGCTGAGAATATTTTCTCGATCTCACCACCGTTCTAATCTAGGATGCGTCTTCCGAGACCTGCGTGCATTCAGGGGAAAAGGATGAACTGCACCACCACGTATCATCTCGATCGTCCCCATGTCTCAGCATATCCCTACATACTTGATGACATGGATGTTATCTGATGCTTTTTCCTTTTCTTCTTTTCTTCCTTTTTATTCTAAACTTAGCATCGGCGTTGAATCCTTGGTTATAAGAGGCCACGGCGTTATGTTTTTCTTCTTCTTACCAGTTTCTCATCTCCTTTATTTAGAGGTTGAAATGGTTATGATAGGCAAAGCTGTGGAGGCCTTTCTTTTCCTTTTTTCCTCCCCCTTCTTTTCAGATCGATCTATACGGGAGTTCTGGCGGCATCTTTACTCGAATAGTAATGGTTGTTTTTATGCTGTTTTGATAACTAGAGACGGGAGCTTAACTAGATAGCAGCCATAGCCAGGGCGCATGCACGGCAATGACACCCAAAAAAAAAAAAAAAAAAAAAAAAAAAAAATGTAACAAATATCATCAGATAACTATCATCAACCGCTGTTTGACTGTTAAAGACTCGTCGCAAATCCACCGTAGGGGGCTGCCGTTTCATCGACGCATGTCATGCTGAAGAGCCGCCGAGTCGCCGTCTCTCTCTCTAACTTTACGATTAATCAGTCGGAGCGATTTGAAATTTTTCTCGAAAACCCATCCAACTCTGCGCCGCGGGATGGCCTGCAGCCACGGGCCGGACCAGCCAGCCAGCCAGCCAGCCTGGCAGGTTACAAGACACGTCTCCTGCAGCTGACAAGATGATGAGCGGCTCGGCGTCATCCAGCCAGCAAGCAGGTCAGGTTGCAAGTGAGCGGCGGGATGGATGGATGGATGGATGGATGGAGATGGGAGATGATTCAGGCCAGCGCGGCGTCGACGGCTGCAGCGGGTAACCAACCGGCCAGCTAAGTTAACACAGCTCGACGTCAAGCAAAGTAACTAGTAACGTCAACCCTTTTTTTACGT